GAGCAGGAACCCGAGCGGTGTTCAGTTGTTGGACTTCTGTGCTAGTCACAGTTTGTCCATCACGAACACCATGTTCGTGCACAAGGGTGTCCACCAGTGCACATGGCACCAGGACACCTTAGGCCGGAGGTCGATGAGTGACTTTGTTGTCGTATCATCTGACCTTCGTCCACGTGTCTCGGACACTCGGGTGAAGAGAGGGGCGGAGCTGTCAACCGATCACCACCTGGTCGTGAGTTGGATCCGCTGTCAGGGGAAGAAGCCGGTCAGACCTGGCAGACCCAAGCGTGTAGTGAGGGTCTGCTGGGAACGTCTCGCTGAGCCCCCTGTCAGGCTGACTTTCAACTCGCACCTCCGGGAGAGCTTCTCCCAGGTCCCGGCGGAGGAGGGGGACATCGAGTCTGAGTGGACCATGTTCTCTTCCTCTATTGTCGATGCGGCAGCTCGTAGCTGCGGTCGCAGGGTCTCTGGTGCTGGACTTCTGAGGCAGCTGTGCAGTACCGGCTGCAAGCTGGCTGTTGCAGAGGCAAAAACCCGGGACTGGGAGGAGTTCGGAGAGTACATGGAGCATGACTATCGGTCGGCCTCGAAGAGGTTCTGGCAAACCGTCTCGCACCTCAGGAGGGGGAAGCAGTTCTTTGCCAGTATCGTGTACGGTGCGGGTGGAGAGCTGCTGACCTCGACTGGGGATATTGTCGGGCGATGGAAGGAATACTTCAAGGTTCTCCTCAAACACGTCACCTCCTCCGTCCCGGAGGCAGAGGCTGAGGATGTTGGGGCGGATACTTCTATCTCCCTGGCTGAAGTCACCAAGGTGGTTGGCAGCCTCCTTGGAGGCAATGCGCCGGGAGTGGATGAGATCCGTCCTGACTATCTAAAGTCAGGCCAATGGAGTGGCAGACCGGGTGGTGGTCTCTACAAGAAGGGGGATCGGAGGGTGTGTTCCAATTATCGTGGGATTACACTCCTCAGCCTCCCCGGTAAGGTTTACTCCAAGGTACTGGAGAAGAGACCACGACCGACGGCCGAATATCGGATTCAGAAGGAGCATTGTGGTTTTCGTCCTGGTCGCGGAACACTGGACCAGCTCAATACTCTCGATTGGATACTCAAGGGTTCATGGAAGTTCGCCCAACCTGTCCACATGTGCTTTGTGGATTTGGAGAAGGCGTTCGACCGTGTTCCCCGGGGTGTCCTTTGGGGTTGTTCTCCGGGAGTACGGGGTCCGGTCCCTGTATGACCGGATCCAGAGTCGCGTTCGCATTGCCGGCAGTAAGTCAGACCTGTTCCCGATGCATGTGGGCCTCCGCCAGGGAAACCCTTTGTCACCGGTTCTGTTCACTGTCTTTATGGACAGAATTTCTAGGCGCAGCCTTGGGCCGGAGGGGGTCCGGTTCGGGGACCACAGGATTTCATCTCTGCTGTTTGCAGATGGTATTGTCCTGTTGGCTCCAACGAACCAGGACCTGCAGCATGCACTGGGACGGTTTGCAGCAGAGTGTGAAGCGGCTGGGATGAGAATCAGCACCTCCAAATCCGAGGCCATGGTGCTCGACCGGAAAAAGGTGCCTTGCCCTCTCCAGGTGGGTGGAGAGGTCCTTCCTCAAGTGGAGGAGTTCAAGTATCTTGGGGTCTTGTTCACGAGTGAGGGACGGATGGAGCGTGAGATTGACAGGCGGATCGGTTCAGCGTGCACAGTGATGCGGTCGCTGTACCGGACCGTTGTGGTAAAGAGGGAGCTGAGCCGAAAGGCAAAGCTCTCAATTTACCGGTTAATCTTTGTTCCCACCCTCACCTATGGTCATGTGCTTTGGGTAATGACCGAAAGAACAAGATTGCGGATACAAGCGGTTGAAATGAGCTTCCTCCGCAGAGTGGCTGGGCGCTCCCTTAGAGATAGGGTGAGGAGCTCAGTCGGGAGAAGCTCGGAGTAGAGCCGCTGCTTCTCCAGGTCGAGAGGAACCAGTTGAGGTGGCTCGGGCATCTGTTCCGGAGGCCTCCTGGACGCCTTCCTGGCGAGGTGTTTAGGGCACGTCCCACCAGGAGGAGGCCCCGGGCAAGACCCAGGACACGCTGGAGAGACTATGTCTCTCAGCTGGCCTGGGAACGCCTTGGGGTCCCCCAGATGAGCTGGAGGAAGTGTGTGTGGATAGGGAAGTCTGGGCGTCTCTGCTTAGACTGCTGCCCCCCCGACCCGGCAACGGATGAAGCAGAAGAAGATGGAATTGAATGGAATGGAACTTTACCCCCATTGCCTAGAATGAATCTGGTGCGTGTGTGAGTGGTTGGTGAAGGTTGCATCGCTTCTGTCAGTGTGCCCCAGGGCAGCTTTGATAACTGAGCTGTTATAGCCACTGTGTAGTGAAAGAATAATATCATGTGAAGCGTCTTTGAGTGTCCAAAAAAGCGCTAAAACCGATGCATTATTATCATTATAGTCAGTGCCTGTGAAAGATTGATTGTTGTCAGACAGGCTGGTGTCACATATTGACAACCTTGATAAGCCTGTCTGCCCCGGGGCAGGTGTGGCCACAGTTTAATAATTTTCTGCCACTTTGTACAAAATGAATAAAAAATGCAATTTGCAAAGTGTCCAAAATAGCTCAGGTTATTTTGAAGAGTCAGAAATCCGTAAATAAAACCGCAAGTGGCGACAAAAGCCCTCAACCTCCTGACTTTTCTCTTCTTTTGCATACTCAAAAATAGGTATGTTCGGCTCCCATGGGGTTTTTTAAATTATATTTCTATTTCCATTTTGTAAAATATTTTGCCCAGCTAAACACTAAAGACCGGATTAATGAATACGTCTTCAGAGTGAATAACAAAAATGATAGTTCAAACCCCTTGAAATGTCGTATTGGCTCAGAGTAATCATATAATGTACAAGTTTTGAATCACAGGAACATTCCATGCAAAGCATCGCCATGGCAACACAACGAGTAGGTAGACCAGACCTACAGTGCGCCTGTAAAAAAGTTGCGCAATGCATTCTTACGTCATTCCATCAATTAGTTTTTTTCCCCTCCTGGAGACAATAGCCTTCAATGTTTAGTGAGTTTTTAGGAAAAGGTTTGCCGCAGCATTACTCTGAATGAGGGACATGACACACGCCTCATGAGTCACTCTGTCATGAACACAGCCTGTGATACTTTTATAGATCCAACTTGATCAACTTGGTTAGAGCTGCCACCTACTGGACACACCATTTATGCAATTAAATATAAACTAACATAACAGGCTACAGAGGCTAAACAACAAGAGTAACGGCAAAACCATAGACTGTAAATAATAAATCCGTCAATTATTATAACCAAGGACCCAGATCACTTTTCACTATGAGGTTCATATTGGAAAATTATAAATGGTTACATCTGCTGTTAGCAATCACTGTCTATCACATTATTGACTTGCGTGGATAAATTTAAATGTATTTTTTTTTCTAATCTTTGAGAAATAATTAAATATAAAATGACAAAAGGGCTTTGAAGAAACAAGCTTTTGTTTTAGTCAACTCACTTTATTTACAGATTACTCAAAGAGCAATGTATTCAAATGTTATCGCTGCCTTTACTTTTACATGGGAAATGATTCTTCAAATTTTGATCTTAATACAGCCAATCTAGATATTTGTGAAATTCGTACACTGCTTTTCCTTGAATTACAGCAAGTTTCCCTATAGAAGACAATAAATAGGCCGAGATTTTATATGCTCTTTGTCCTGACATGAACAGAAGTTGGTCATTATTTCTGGTTAGGGCAGCACAACATGGCCTGTAATAAGTCAATAAGAGAAACAAAGTCTAAAACAAAGTTAAAAAAAAAAAAAAAATAGAGTTAATAAGGTTACAGCTCTTTCAGAGGTTAGTGAAAAGGACAGGGGTTAGTTTTGTAAAATCCAAATGACAATTAAGGCGTTTTACTTCCATTGGGTAGCTATATAGTTGGCCACACAAACAGCTTCTTGTGAACAACCAGGGAACAGGACAAAATTTGAGTTTGACAATGTATTTCCTTAGAAAGAAAACAAAAAAAAACCTTTAAGCAGCATGAAATAAATGCATTGATATCAACTGAAGTCTGTTACGGTTTAATGGACAATGAAAATAAAATAGGCAACAGAGATGGACAATCAAGCATACATTACATTAAAAAAGCACATTTACAACATAGGATTTGTAATCTGCTGCACCCACACAATGTAATCAGACTTGAAAAACAGCATTAACCAACACACTGTCTGTATTTTTACACATTTTAACATGTTGCAAATGGCTTTTTCTCAAAGTAACGAATCATGTACACACTCACCAGAAATAGAAAATGCGATACTTACTACTGACCATATCGAAATGGGAACTCACCATACGTTAAGATTTATTGAAGAAAATGACTACGCCTCATGGGTTGAAAAAAACCAACTCGTACATTTCTGTAAGAGCACAAGTCTAAACATGTTTATGGTTTTGTTTCCCCATTGTTAAGAAATAATTATACAGCTCTAATAGACAATAATTCACGTGTATTCTGAATTAAATTTGAGGCTTTCAATTCTTTTTTTTTTTTTTTTTATTTACAAGTGACCAAACCTATTATCGATTGTGTTTCATAGGTTGTCCATTTAGATCTTGGGAAGCTTGTTTAATTGCCATCTGTTGCCTGTAAATAAAAGTGCAGAACAGAAATATGATCTTTTGTTTAAAACGTACCAGTGTGTCCAGAGCACAGGACATTTTGATTGTTGAGGTGAGTGCCACTTGTGTCCATGCATTTAAATAGCAACACAGAAGAGGGGGGACCTCCAACATACTATCACACAGAGAACGCTCTTAAACAAGAGGAAAGTAAGTCACCCAGAGGTCTGCAGCAGTATGTCTCGATATTTCTTTCTTTCAAATAGGATCGGACTCAATAACTATCTTTATGTGTCCGTTAAATGCAAACGAAGACAGAATAGGAGTACATTGTGTGGATCACATTCAAATGCCTCATTGCAATCCTTCTTATACTTCATTCTTGCCCGCATAGAGCCTGGTCCATGTTCGAGCTGCAAAGACAAGGAATTCTGATTAGTGTGGGGAAAAAATGTCATTGGAGAAATTGAGAAAATACAACAATTCAGGAGTAAGTATGCTCCATTCATATAGCACCAGAATTCAAAAACTGAATTAGCTCCCATCATGCTACAGTATATGCAGACGTAGTCGTTAATGGGCGGCACGGTGGCTGAGTGGATAGCACTCTCGCCTCTCAGCAAGAAGGTCCTGGGTTCGAATCCCGGTCGGACCAGGGCCTTTCTGAGTGGAGTTTGCATGTTCTCCCCGTGTCTGCGTAGGTTTCCTCTGGGTCCTCCGGTTTCCCCTACCACTAAAAATATGTCCAATAGTTCTGGCATGCGCCTCCTGTACTGGCGACCCCGCTCCCATCTCTGTGTGGAGTGAGAGACAAATGCCCAAAAAATTAACAATTGTAAACCGCTTTGAGACTCAGATCTGCAGTGAAAAGGCGGTATATAAATAAAAACTTACTTACTAACTTACTTACTAATAGAAGTTAGGATTGAAAAACAGTTATTGAAAACAACATAAATAAATAAATATTGAACCTTCTCATTGCCAAACTCAAAAAGGCATACTCAGCTGTATAGCAGGGGTGTACAACCAGTCCTCAAAGAGCCAATGTGGCAGCAGGTTTTAATTCCAACCTGAGCAGACAGACCCTTTCCTCAGGTAAATCCAGTTTTAACCTGAAGATTTGAGGAAATGCATGAAGTTTGCTGTGCTCCTGCTCAGGTTAGAACTAAAACCTGCCGCCACAGCACCCTTTCTGGAACCGGTTTGACACCTATAGTATAGTAACAGTTGTGGCCAATCATGAAAAATTGAGAATACATTTGTAATATGATCAATTAAGGAAACTTTAAAGTCAGATCCAGATTAGACCCAAACCCAGTCATTTGTACCAGAGCAGCTGGTGCTTTACTTCTCGTCACATCAGCACCAGGGGAGAACATAATACCTCTGTACCAGGAGTCTTTCTTGCTTGGAACTGGCGAAGGACAACACCATAGTATACCTGACAAACCTGCGATTTAGACCAGTGTGTTCACCATACACCCTCCCCTCAAGAACATGCACAGAATACAGAGCTGCAGGACCAACATTGTCCAGAGTTAGATGTACTACCTTAAATTACACAGCTGTGTGCTGCTGCATGTATCTTTGCTGCAAAAACTTTTTTAAGTTGACCAAATGGCTGCAAGATTCAGGGCCACAATGTCTCATGTGGTTTTAAGTTAGTTATCATTATAATCAGCATAAACAGTGAACCATGCACTGCGGTTTACTTGCTCTACCTGTCTCAATGGCACGGGTTTCATTTTTTTTCCACTCCTCGGCGACGTCGTTTGCCAGTGGGTCGTCTGGGTTCGGAGCACTTAACAAAGCCTGGATAGATAGCAACACTGTGCGGATCTGAAGAGCTGGAGACCACTTATCTACAGGGAGACGGCAAAGGAAAAACATGAGGAAAAAATGAACAAAGCACAAATCTGCAAAGACAAAGGGATTTTACTCTTTTGTACATGCATTTTATGCACTGCATGTTGCAAACCTATGTAATCCATTCTACAATGTATATGTATTATATATATATATATATATATAAAATATATCTAACATTTTCTTTTAAATCTGCCATATAACAACACTTATTACATGTGTATAAATGAGCCCCGTTGAAAACTGATGAACCAACAGAATGTAGGAATTGTGTTACAATACATTTTTAATGTAAAACGATGGTCATGTACGGAATAATAAATTGGAATTGCAAACAAATAGGAATGAACAGATCACCTTTTAAGATGTCTAAACATATTCTTCCCAATTTGTCCACATTGGGGTGGTAGATTTTGGTCATGAATCGCACTTTGGGAGCTGCCATGGGATATTCTTCTGGAAGAAATAGTTCGAGTTTAAACGTCCCTCCTTCAAAGGGAGAGTCTGCAGGCCCCGCAATGACAACATGAAAGTAACGTGCGTTGCTCTCATCTGGAAGAGCAGAGATCCCGGGAACAGGCTCCTGCACCAACCGGTGTGTTTCCTGGATTAAGAAATAAGACAATGATTTAGATTTATATTAGACTATGCAAGAATAAGGAAAAAAAAAGTAAAAAATATATGCAGCGGTTATTAGACACAAAAAGCAAACCTGGGCTGAAGACATCAATAATGACAATAATAGAATCTATCAGTTATACTATTATTGTGTCTGATTAACTGAGACATCTAAAAAAGTATGATTCATAGTTAAACTAAATGAGTGTTGTAAGAAATAAGTGTGCAAATTCACATGGTTAGTTTAAATAATACAATGTATTTGACAAAAATACAAATATTTTCTGTAGAAAAGGCATGGTTACAATTTAAGACATAAAAGTGAATAATAATGATTATACAAACATTCATACTATATGATATTTCCAGTGAAATTATATTATTCTACTATTAATAGCTAATTATTTACTATTCATTCACTATGCTGGTGCTAAGTGTACTGGGTGCAGCTCTGACTGCCACCCCCCCAACCCAGAAATGGATTAAGGGGAAGAAGATGGATGGATGGATGGATATTTACTATTCAATATGTACATATCCATGACTGGCAAATACAGTGTAACATTGTTGATAGACAGATGCAGAGGGTATACTCATAAACATTACGCTTAGATCAAAGTGCTACAAATGACAGTAAAAGAGAACACCCATGTACACCGTCACTGCTGTCACAGGAGAGTCCAGTGGACCTGGGGGGCAGCTGAAGCAAAGGCCCACAGCTCAATAGCACCGGGACCGAGGGAGGGGCAGGGACGTCTACCATCTAGACATCGATATGCTCAGTACCGTAGCATACACCCTTTGCATGTGATTCACGAAGTTAACACTGACGGCCAGACAATAATGAAAGCATTAAGTTCCCACTGCCATGAGGCTCCATGAGGCTCCGGATGCATAGCACCGCCCGCTGCAGTTAGCTTTAGCCCCGCGCATCCATTCATATTCAGCGATTAGGACACACCAACATTATCTACGATCGGTGATTTATCAGCATGATCTTCAGCAATTACTATTATACACAGTCGATTTCCAGAACTATTTTGGGAAAATACGAACCAACGATGTCTAAGAGGAAAAGACAAACATAATCGTTAGCTGATAAATAACGCTAGCGCGATAGGAGGCTAACACTCGGTGTCAATGTTCTCCATGTTATGGCTGAATATTTATGAAACACTGTGTTCCATGCGCTGGAGCTTTGAAAATGATTGATCAGAGTGCCGCACAGTTAAGTGTACCTTTACAATCCTACGAGACAGGCCGCTCATCTTGTGTTAGCTGTTGTATTTTTAGCCGTGGACTTCTCTCGGTTCGGGCTGAGCTCGTAGGCGGGGCTCACGCGCTTATTTCCGGTGGCTTCAGATGACGTAGTGTAAATAAATAAATGCACTTATTATTATAGATCCATGACTTATGGAGGTATTATCTGCACAGACTCCACTGCCGAAATGTTTCTGTAAAGACAGGTAAGCATGATGCCATTCTGTGGCAGAGAATGACATTTCCAGGGAAATAGGAGTATAAGGAGATTGCGACTGTATTCTACACACACACACACACACACACACACACACACACACACACACACACACACACACACACACACACACACACACACACACACACACACACACACACACACACACACACAGTAAGCAGGCTTTGTATATCTGTGCAAATGAAAGAAGAAAAAAAACACACACACACAATTAACCTCTTGTTTTATTTTAATACAATTGATTGAATTAAGTCTGGAGGGCTGATAACAGAATGGTTATAGATACGAATATATAAGGAGGCATCCACATAATTCATGAGCATGAAGACTACATTGTAGTTTGAGCAAGACAACGCACAAGAGCAATGCTTGTAAAATAATATTGGGGAGAACACATTTGAGTAACTTTACCTGTCAACACCAGGAATATTATGTTACATGGAATCAGAAATAACTACTAAAAACATGTACATACATTTGAAATAGTGAGTCATACACAACATGAAGCTCCTATCTGTCCTTTGGACCCTTCTTTTTGCGTCTCATGTGGTACCTGAAGAAGGAAAGAAAAACATGCATCACCCTTAAAAAGATACCAATACAACACAAAGCCAAATGATCAAATACAAGCATATAAAAATGAAGCTATTATTACTATTCCATCTTTTTGATCTTTGGATGAATTTAATTTGTTTTCAGAATTAAATGCATGACTATAAACATCTAAAAACATTAAATCTACGTAATTTATATTAGCCTAAAGCCTTTTGATAATATCCTGAAAATATTTCCAGGCAAAACCACTTGAAAAGAAAAGGAATAAAAAGGTGTAAAACACAAGTTTGTATACTCACTGTCCCACTGGATACCAGCGGTGTTTAGTGGTGTAAAACATCTTGCTCAGCTCCTCTATGGATGGACCCTTGGTTTCCTTCAGCACATCTTTGCTCAAATGTGATTTTAGAACTTGATCATGTGTGTCAGGAACATCGCTCACAGGGTCTGGACGTTCAATAGGCTACACGTGCAATGACACATTAAACATGGTTGTGAGTCATAAAAGACACATGTACAAACATACCTCTCAAAATGTATTCTTCTTACCTGAGTGAGCTCATAAGGAATTTCAGCTGTGGGATGATAGCATACTACAGTCTTCCCATTTGTAGTGACACCAATTTGGACATTACTGAAACCAAGGAATAAAGACATCAGACTCAGTTGGTCAAAAAGACTGATACAATATGACCAGTGTTGGGCTGTCAGGGGGCTTTTTGCAGGGCACAAACCTTTGGACAGATGCATGTGAGGAATTGACTCCTGCCCTTTTATGATCTTTCATCATAGAGGGCAGGGGGCTACTCCGCAGCGGCTGGTTTCTGAGACAAATGTATCGCTTTATATGTTAGCGAGGTGTAAAGCAATTGTAGCCTGGCCATCTAAATGCAGTCCAAGACTTAAGCTCTATTCGGACGGGATTAGTATTACCTGTGGACCCCTGGTAATTTGTGATAATCGCGGAGGACGTCTGAGACCTTGCAGTGCATTCACACGGGAGAAGCAATGTCTGTAATTTTCACTGACATCTGACATAACGGCTGCACGTTCGCGGGTCTCTCCGCTTCATGTAGCCCATACTGGCATCTGACCACAGCAGCCACAGAGACCATGAGGACAAACACTTAAATGTGGATTTTACTGCTCTACAGTTCTCTGGCCCGCACCGTCAACGTCTGTATTGTTTAACAAAACTGTTTGTACGGACTACCCGTTAACGCACCAGATACTCTGCTAACATACGCACAAACCAACAAGCAGTAACGGCCGAATCAACACGTCTGTACTGTATTACCACTGAGTGCAAAGTAAATGCACAAACGTGTTGGTGTCAGTGACAACATTACACTGTCCTCTACAGTTCTCCATAGACCTCACAGGGACAGCAGCAGCCGCGACTCCGCAGGTGTTCACGGCCGCAATCAGTCAGACCAAAAATTACAGACCTGGCGCATTCGCACAGGACTAATGCCGCGTTCAGACCGGATCATGCGTTGCGTCGGCTTTCAATGCAGTCAATGGTGACGCGCGTTCGAGCGTCAAAACGCACGAGCGTCTTGGAATGCACGCATGGACTGCTCAGTAGAGACGAATGGACTGCGCGGCAAAGTCGAAGGGAAGGAGCAGGAGCGGAAAATTGACGCACGCAGGAGATGAATTTTGATGAACGTTTCCTCGGACGTTTGTGCAGCGACCAATCAGAGAGCCGCAAAGTGGTCACGGGAACATTAGCGGTCTGAGCGAGAAGACAGAACATACTCATAAACAGCCAAAACAGGAGCTACACCAGGACTAAAACCAGGGTTGACAATGGGGGACATCACGCTCGTGGACATATGCGTTTTCATGCTCCCATGACCTTATGCAACTGCTTCGAGCGTGTTCGCCGATGTGGAAGTAGCGTTTAATAATAAAACAAACTTATTGCGCACCTCTGTGAACACATGTTAGTATTAGATAGCAATATGGCCTACGTGCAGGACTCTACAAGGACTCTACAAGGACTCCATGTTATGACTATGATGTGACTGTCTCTTTGTGACACGTACGTCTTTCGATGTGTGACGTGACAATGACTATATAAACTGTGTACTGCCTTTATTCTGTCTGAGAGAAAGAAACAGAGTAAACCAGTGGAACTTGAGAGAAACTTAAATAAACTTCCAGAGTTTGGCACACCACGATCCGTCTCTGTCTGCTAAATCCTAACACACATACTACTGTTATATAAAGTCTGTGGAAGGTGCATCTGGTGAGCGAGGCTTCAGCGTTCCAGCGTTGGCGGTGTGAAAGCAGCATAAGATCTCAGACGTCCTCTGTGATTATCACAAATTACCAGGGGTCCCCCAAGTAATGCTAATCCCGTCCGAATAGGGCTAAAGACTGTATTGATATTGACCACTGTAATGACCATCAGTTGGCACCTAATTAGCACACGTGTGTATGGAGATGTTGGTATCTTCAGATCCACTGAACATTCAACATGAGGTACTGCTGGCCCAGGTCCCAAAACCACAGCCTGGATATGATATACATACCAGTAATTTGGGTCATCGAGTGGAGGGCGGGTGTACTTCTGCCGGACTGCGAGACATAATGCTGACAAACACAAATGTCAGTGTCTTTATGGTTTGGGGCGAACAGTATGCATGTCATCACATCGAACAAACATTACTGAGAAATTACAAGAATATCAAAAGTAAAAATGTATCGTAAGTTAGAATTCAAATAAATTTATAAATTACCCTAAGAGGTGATTGGTAAATATTATGTTAACGTTCAAATAAAGTTCCCATCCATACATGGAGGGAAGAAATAAAAGAAACACTATGAATCATCGTTAACCTTAGAGCACTTTTATCCTTATATCATCACCAAACACTTTTTAATGTTACAAACTACTATCCATACCTAGAGATGATAACGTAATAAAATGATATCAGTATATCAAAATTATAATCGTTGTTGATATTTGAGGGTGATTGAGTGGATCACTACTGCTTTCACCCGATCAAACTCGGTGACATTAGCATTAGCCTGTACCAGAATGTCACATAAGAATGTTGCTTTCTTTACGTGTATAAACAAATCTAGAAATTCTTACTTTGTGCATTGCGTATTGTAGAACCATAAAACAATCGCGTTAAGTGATAGTGAAGCTTGCACAAATGACCCGAAGCCATGCTTGGCTGTGTGACTAGCTTATGATGATGTGCAACAGTGTTATGATTCCGGTGCCGCACTCCCTTCAATCCAGCCCGTTCCACCCAACCGAACGTACTTAAATACTTTCAAAGTATTTGTGTACGTATGACAGGCTAGAATTTACTATTCACCAAACACAGTTAACATACTTACAATCTAGAGAAAAAAAAATCTTCAATATAACTTTTGTTATATGTATTACTAATATTACAATTTTTTTGTAATTATTTGCAAAATTTGACTCCATCTTCTTCAACTCCTCCATTTTAAAGTGTTTTTTCGTCTCATGGGGACGATTTCTTTTGGTGTATGTATCTTTTGTTGTATTTGAAATATTTTGAGCAAAATGTGTTAATAATCTGGCCGAAAGTGGTACTGCAATCACAGTCTATATTCTGTCGTCCTCTCATGGATCTATCCCTGACTGTCCCTGACTCAGGTTGCCAGATGTACAGACGTTTGTCCACATTGGGATTGTAGACTTTGGTCATGAAACGCATTTTGGGAGCTGCAATGGGATATTATTTCCTGCTCTGGACAGAGCAGTCGCATTCTCTTGCTGCTCCTCGCTTGCTGCTTTTTTATCTCCTTTAATCATTTTTGCTTACATTTTTATTCCACAAAACACGGATTACTCCTTTTTACAAACTTCAACACAAGACTGGTGGAATTTACCTAACTTACAGCATGTCGGGAGGACGGGAAAATAGAACAAAACTTTGCGACGGCTGTTTTTCACTCAAACAGGAGCTAAAACTTCTTCAAGACCGAATGTTTGTGCTTGAATCAGAATTGGGGCTGAACACAACAATACCAGTGAAAGGAAATGGACCACATGGACAGAACGTAAGTTATGATGACGCTATTTCATTTCCCAAAATCAACAGAGACAATTGTTGGAACACATATGGTGCCAAGCCCAAACAAGGCAAAGCTAATGATAACAAGAGTGTCATAATGCCACAGCAAAAATCTTTAACTCACTGACTGCCAGGCATTTTCAGATTTGAGAAGTGCATTCTGCCAGCAATTTCAGGTGATTTGACCCAACTTTGAAGTGCCACAGAATATTCATTTTTTAGACGATGTAAACACCAAGGGCACCAAATTAAAGATTAACCTCTCTGCTTTACTCTGAAAAAAACAGTTTGTTTCTACCTCTTACCGTTCTTGAGTTATTCGCTATAGAACAAAGCATACTTTCACCCATAACACCTGGTCTGAGCAAGAAAACAGAGAAAACGAGCTGTATGTAAACAGGAACATATCAAGCAGAAAAGAGACTTTAGATGCATTTTTGCTGCTTTAGTGACAACTCAAAACATCTTCACACTTGTTCCATTACAAATATTAAAAACATGACTCTGAAATAATACTTTTGATGGCAAATTGTTGGCAATTTATTCACAGATAGAAAATTTAACTTTCTTCTATACCATCAACCAAAACGTCAAACAACAACAACACAAAGATCAATAAAACTATAGATGTATAAAATAGAATGAAGCATGTGAATTTGAGTGTGTGTGTGTGTGAATGTCAGTGTGCGAGTGAGTGTCTGTGTGAGTGAGTGTCTGTGTGTGTGAATGTCAGTGTGCGAGTGAGTGTCTGTGTGAGTGAGTGTCTGTGTGAGTGAGTGTCTGTGTGTGTGAATGTCTGTGTGCGAGTGAGTGTCTGTGTGAGTGAGTGTCTGTGTGAGTGAGTGTCTGTGTGTGTGAATGTCAGTGTGCGAGTGAGTGTCTGTGTGAGTGAGTGTCTGTGTGAGTGAGTGTCTGTGTGTGTGAATGTCAGTGTGCGAGTGAGTGTCTGTGTGAGTGAGTGTCTGTGTGAGTGAGTGTCTGTGTGTGTGAATGTCTGTGTGCGAGTGAGTGTCTGTGTGAGTGAGTGTCTGTGTGAGTGAGTGTCTGTGTGTGTGAATGTCAGTGTGCGAGTGAGTGTCTGTGTGAGTGAGTGTCTGTGTGAGTGAATGTCAGTGTGCGAGTGAGTGTCTGTGTGAGTGAGTGTCTGTGTGAGTGAGTGTGTGTGTGAATGTCAGTGTGCGAGTGAGTGTCTGTGTGAGTGAGTGTCTGTGTGTGTGAATGTCAGTGTGCGAGTGAGTGTCTGTGTGAGTGAGTGTCTGTGTGAGTGAGTGTCTGTGTGTGTGAATGTCAGTGTGCGAGTGAGTGTCTGTGTGAGTGAGTGTCTGTGTGAGTGAGTGTCTGTGTGTGTGAATGTCAGTGTGCGAGTGAGTGTCTGTGTGAGTGAGTGTCTGTGTGAGTGAGTGTCTGTGTGAGTGAGTGTCTGTGTGTGTGAATGTCAGTGTGCGAGTGAGTGTCTGTGTGAGTGAGTGTCTGTGTGAGTGAGTGTCTGTGTGAGTGAGTGTCTGTGTGTGTGAATGTCAGTGTGCGAGTGAGTGTCTGTGTGAGTGAGTGTCTGTGTGAGTGAGTGTCTGTGTGTGTGAATGTCAGTGTGCGAGTGAGTGTCTGTGTGAGTGAGTGTCTGTGTGAGTGAGTGTCTGTGTGAGTGAGTGTCAGTGTGTGTGAATGTCTGTGTGAGTGAATGTCAGTGTGCGAGTGAGTGTCTGTGTGCGTGAGTGAGTGAGTGAGTGCGTGTGAGTGTTTGTGAGTGTGTCCGATAAATCATGATCAGGTTTGCTGAACGAATCCGAGGCATCAGTAACAACAGCAGCTGATACGCTGCGAGAGGCGGAGGGTGTGTCTCTGCTCGGGGCTCTTGCTCTGCGCAAATGTGGCTGCAGAGACGGACCTCCACCGGGGTCTCCACTCTCTCCCCTCTCGACCTCACTCACTGATCCGCGAGTCAATCTCTGAAGCAGTGTATACTGCTTATAACTATTCTTTTTTGCCATCACTCTTGCTATACTATCGCTAAACTAGATCTGATCCGTCTCAATGCTACAGTACGCTATCATCGCTCTGCTACAGCAGCACAGCACGCTCTCCAAAGACCCCACACTCCTCCTCCTTCTCTCCACTGACTTATGACCTCTCCTGTGGTGCAATACTGCATCCTACTGGTGGTGATTTATCATTACAGGTACATTTGCACTATATATCAGTATTGTGGGTCATTAACAAGGTGCGCCAGACATTACTGCAGCCTCCCGTGTAATAACACGAAAAAGTCGTCTAAGTCGTCTTGGGCAGTGAGCGTCACTATACAATAGAACGACTTTTGTCGTCATGGGCAGTGAATGAGTTAATTACAAGAAACCGCTTTTCACCACTTTTGGAAGATGAATCAGCAGTAGTCTCTCAGTCCCAGTCTCAGTCTCAGTCAAGGTCAAATGCAGCTGAGTCGCTCTTTATCGGGGATTCGGCGATAAGAAATGTAAATATGCGTAATCTCAAGGTTCACTCAGTACACTCTGCCAAAGTGGATGAGATAAGGCGGTTGGCTCCGAGGCTTCTGTCTGAGACCGGCGGGGTAAAAAGATTGTTGATCCACGTGGGGGCAGTAGACGTCTATGACAACACAAGTGAAAAGTTGAAACGGGATTACTCTCTATTATTGGACGACCTTGCTAAAATGGACACAAAAATCGTTATCAGTGGCCCACTACCAAATGTGGACGGGAAGCAAATGAAATTCAGTCGTCTGTATCAGCTAAATACTTTCCTACTCAACGAATGTTCACGCAGAGGACTTGCCTTCATTGAGAATTTTAATCTGTTCTGGAATAGGCATGAGCTTTTTGAAGGGAAAGGGCCACATCTGAACACTTACGGAGTAAAAGTGCTGATGGATAACCTTTCTTTTGCCCTGAGATCTCAGCCTGCGCAGCGCGTGCAGCCATCGAAAGGGAGGAAGCCGACTCCAAAAGTCTCTGCACCTCCACCACCTCGAAGGATCTCAACACCACCACCACCTCGAAGGATCTCAACACCACCACCACCTCGAAGGATCTCAACACCTCCACTGTCATCAGAAGCAGCTGCATCATCACCAGCAGCAGCTGCATCATCACCAGCAGCAGCTGCATCATTACCAGCAGCAGCTGCATCATCACCAGCAGCAGCTGCATCATCACCAGCAGCAGCTGCATCATCACCAGTAGCAGCACCAGCAGCACGACCACCACCACCATCCTCATCCCCAGCCTGCTCCAAAGCAGCCACGCCTTCTTCATCTACAGCGCCTCTGAAGCCCCCATCCTCACCCCAGCCTACAGCAGACAGGCCTGTGCTGGGGTTTCCTCAACCACCTGCCCCTCCATTAAAGACTCCCTCGCCACCTCCCAAGGACCTGTCTTGGGTCCCCCCTGCCACGTCCACTCCATCAAGAGAGAATGGGGACACCTCCCTTTGTTTTTCATCCCCGCCTTCACTGTTAGACCTACCTGAACACTCTGCAGGGCTAATAAAATCGGCGATGAAGACTATTCCTCTCACACCCATATTAGCTCGATCTAGAGTCCTGTCCAACATTCTAAACCACTCCCCATATGTACCTCCAAAACCACCTAGGGTTTCCAATTCACCTACAAAAACCACCTCAGCCAGTCCCTCCCCTAACCTCATGACCATTCCACCCCCACTTCCCCCTCGTTCAACATCCAAAACCTCTGCCTCAGCCCACCCCGGCCCTAACCCATCACCTAAAACCCCTCCACCTCCCTGCCCCCCTCGTTCAACACCCAAAAGCCACCCACCTCTCCATCCTCCTCCCCCGCCTTCCCCTACCCCTCTTTTCTCTAAACACTAGGATGCACAGGGTCTCTGCTTCGCAGCCACTGGCAGTCTAGTTAGAGGAGAGACCCGGCTGGGGCCCTGTCATGAAGCCACCTGTGCCATTCCCTTAGTGATAACACAAAGAATACATTACAGAAAAACATCTGGAGTTAATCAGTCTAATCTGGAAAATCTAATTCTTGTTCCGTGTAAGAATCAGCCGACCGCAACCGCTGATACTGAAACTTTGAAACTTGCTACGCTTAATGTCAGATCTCTTTGTAACAAGTCTTTTTTAATCAATAATTTTATTTCTTCTCATAATCTTGATCTTATGTTCATGGCTGAAACTTGGCTTGACCAAAATTCAGAAAATGCAGTTTTAATAGAAGCATCACCACCAAATTTCAAGTTTGAATCTGAAATACGGGAAAACAAAAAAGGAGGAGGCTTAGCTGCCATTTTTAGAGACCACTTTGTCTCCCATAGAATGTCTCTTGGGAAGTTTTCGTCATTTGAATATGTGTCTTTTAAAATACAACAAAAACAATCTCCTCCAATACTCTTCGTTGTCCTATACAAGCCACCGCAATCATGTCACAATTTTATTGATCATTTTACCGAGTTGCTTTCAGTTGTATGCACAGATTTTGATAGTTTGGTTATTACAGGTGATTTTAATATTCATGTGGATAATGTTAATGACAGAAATGCAAATGAGCTGAGTTCTGTACTTGAATCCTTTGATCTCACTCAGCACGTAAGTGGCCCCACCCACAGCAGAGGGCACACTCTAGATCTGTTAGTTACAAAGGGGGTGATTATTTCAAATGTAAACGTGGTCGATGTTGCTCTTTCGGATCATTTCTGTGTTTTTTTTGACATGTGTTTCACTAACAAACCACCAGTGGACTCTGCAACTGTTCGAAGAAGGCGCATAAATGAAAATACGAGTGAACTATTTATGGAAATGATAAACTTTGAGAATGCATCGTATTCTACTGTAGATGAACTGTTTAACTCTGTCACCTCTAGTGTTTTGAATGTTCTGGATACCGTTGCCCCTGTGAAGGTTAAAATAGTGAAAAATAAGCAGAAGGCGCCGTGGGCTAAAGCAGACTCGGTCAGGGCACAAAAGAGAAAGTGCCGGAGGGCCGAGCGGAAGTGGCGCAAGTCCAACCTCCAGGTAGATTACGAGATCTTCAAAGATAAGTTGTGCGAGTTTAACCGGGTGCTACGTAGTACGAGAGAAAGGTATTTTTCTAAAATGATTGAAGGCTGCAGCAACAATCTGCGTGTTCTGTTCTCAACAGTTAATAGATTAACAAACCCCCCTGTTCAAATGCCATTAGAGCTTACTTCCAAACGTAAATGCAATGAGTTTGCTAATTTTTTCAATGACAAGGTTCAAGGCATCAAAAACGTCATTGTCTCCAATCCACAGATAACCATCCAACAGCGAGAAAGGCTCTCTGAGCTAACTCACTTTGCACCTGTAAATGATAAAACTGTCCAAGAGATAATCTCCAGTTTGAGCTCCTCCACATGCAGCCTGGATGTACTACCCACTAGATTTCTGAAGTCTGTTCTGAGCAGTCTGTTACATTCACTCACACAGATAGTAAACATGTCCCTTCATTCTGGAATATTCCCAAAGGCCCTGAAAACTGCAGTCATCAGGCCCCTGCTAAAAAAGAGCAGTCTGGATGCCACTGTACTTAACAACTATCGTCCCATCTCAAATCTGCCATTTATGGGGAAAGTCCTTGAGAAAGTTGTCTACCTACAGCTTACTAGATTTCTTATAATCAACAACTCATTTGATATGTTTCAGTCCGGCTTTAGACCCCACCACAGCACTGAGACTGCTCTCGTTAAGGTTACAAACGATATCCGGCTGAACACTGACGCAGGCAAAGTCTCAATCTTAATCTTGTTAGATCTAAGTGCTGCCTTTGACACCGTCGACCATGAGATCCTCTTACAGAGACGAGAGGACTGGGTTGGCGTCACTGGCACCGCCCTAAGTTGGTTTAGGTCTTACCTTGAAGACAGGAAGTACTTTGTGGAGATTGGAAACTGTGTCTCAGATCATATGGCCCTGACCTGTGGAGTCCCACAGGGGTCGATCCTGGGACCTCTTCTGTTCAATCTCTACATGCTGCCGTTAGGAAACTTTGTTTCTGCGTATTAACTGACCTATCATAACTATGCAGACGACACTCAGATCTATGTCTCACTGACTGCAGGAGAACATGGACCAGTGGACTCACTCCTTCACTGTATCCAACAGATCAGTGAGTGGATGCAAAACAACTTCCTTCAGCTAAACGCAGACAAAACTGAAATGATTGTCTTTGGTCCCCAGAAACAAAGAGAGAGCGTCATCTGTCACCTACAGTCTCTCTCCCTAAAACCTTCAAACAAGGTCAGAAATCTAGGGGTAATACTGGACTCAGACTTAAATTTTAATAGCCACATCAAATCAGTAACATCAGCAGCTTTTTACCATCTAAAAAACATTGCCAGGATCAAAAACATAGTGTCTAAAGCAGACTTGGAGATTCTTATCCATGCATTTGTCTCCAGTAGGTTAGACTACTGCAATGGCCTTCTCACAGGTCTGTCCAAACAGGCTGTAAAACAGCTGCAGTACATTCAAAATGCAGCAGCTCGAGTCCTGACAGGAAACAGGAAGTACGACCACATTAGTCCAGTCCTCAGGTCTCTGCACTGGCTTCCTGTGGCTCAGAGAATAGACTTTAAAACAGCTCTGCTTGTGTACAAGTCTCTCCATAGCCTCGCACCAAAATATATTAGTGACATGTTAGTCCCATATGAACCAGCCCGGACTCTGAGGAGCACAGGGACTGGACTCCTGTTAGTGCCCAGAGTCAGAACTAAACATGGGGAGGCTGCTTTTCAGATTAATGCTGCTAAAATCTGGAACAGTCTTCCTGAAGATGTGAGACAGGCCTCCTCTCTGACAATGTTTAAAACCAGGTTAAAGACGGTTCTGTTTAACTGTGCATACAACTGAGGGATTTTATATTTTTATCTTTCTTTTTAATGTTCTGTGATAATTTATGATTTTAATGCTTTCTTGTTTTGTTCAGCACTTTGAATTGCCTTGTGTATGAATTGTGCTATATAAATAAACTTGCCTTGCCTTGCCTTGCCATTATTTATACACCTTAGGGCCATTTAATGAAATTCTTACATATTGCTACTTTAAAGTTGTACTTCTTCTTATCGTCTTTAATGGGCCTTTAATCATCTTACATATTTTAAATTTTTGATCTCTCAAGTTTATAGCGTTTTTATATTTCTAGTTATTATATTATTTGCAGTATTGCAGTACTTTAAAATACTTTTTTTATTTCATTAGAAATAAATGTTTGACTAATTTAAATAGTTTTTATTATCAAAAATATTTTTTTCTTCATAAGTTTAAGCTTATTTTAAGTTTATTAAGGAAAACCCCTTGAGATGAATCATCTCATTTCCGAGGGGGTCCTAAACATAAATACAAACATATAAACAAACACGCATACACGAAAACAATTTACAGCGAATTAAAGATGGAAAAATGCTCCTTCGCAACCCACTACTCCCCTCTGCTAAAATTAAACATTTAGAAAAGACAAGGTAAAACTATGAACAATAATGACACAGAATACTGAACATTAGTGACATAAACAAGGAGTTTCAAGGTACCTAAATAATTCAATCTTAAATAAACCAAAAGACAGAATGGATCGTATGGATGTGGGGAGTTTATTCCAGTTTGACGGAGCCTTATATTGAAATGACAATGAAATACCAATGTTACTCATCGCATTAATTTAACAACTCATACCTTTTGTGGTATTTGCAATACTACAAGTTTTCCTTTTTCCTAAAAGAGACAATGATAATGACCGATTTAATGTTTTGAATATTTTTGATCCATGTTATGTAGCACTTTGTTTTTGTTTATGGTAGGCACACTCAAAATGGCTTCAGCCGTTGTAAAATTTCTGGTATATAATGGTCCTGGTTGTGACATAACATACGGGACCATGTTACCTGGCCATGTAATAAAGTATAGGAACATATCCAAAAAAGATATGGTATATGCTTATTTAGTTGAATGATTTTTTTCAGTGTTAAATAATTCACCATATGCACAACACATTGTAAATGGTACTTTATTGGTACTACACTTTATTATGGGTAGTAATGTTTTAGAATCCTGTTTTAAAGTCATAACATGTTATATCATTTGTTTTTTTATATATACATTTTCAGAAAATTATGTTCTAAGTCACAAACCCCAAATTTAAATAATGAACTATCTTTTTTTTTTTTCAACCCTTCCTGTAGACATACTCAGTAAATACTTTATATGTAATAATGCACTAATGCAACTAGTAACAGAGCTGAATACCTGCGTTAAAATGTATTTTGTAGAATATCATATTACGCAGTCCAATCAGCATACTTGATTCAGAATTATAATAAAGGCTCAGCCCTCAGAGTATTGTCAGGTGACTTCCTGTATTGGTACTTCTTGGCTCCCCTTGTGATCAGCAGCCAAGTCTCGTCCGAACAATCAGAAGCTCGCTTGTGTGAATGTTCCAGCCCACTGTTGCCTCAAGTACTCAGACACTGTTGAAACACTTCATTCTGTGGTAGCAACAATAAACCTTGAAGCTTCAACCCAGTCTCTCCCCATCTTCCTTCCAGACATCCTGATCGGTATCCCATCTTGTTTCAGGTTGTAACCTTTAAGAAATAGCACCATACATACAGTCGACCATCCGTAACAGGAATACTCTGTACTTGTGTGAAAATACAACACAAAACGATTTTTGCACCATTTTTCAGGCCTATTTATTACAATTTTCCATTCAAAATGTAACGAGCACACATTCATTAACCTTTTGAATATATTTTTTAAATTGCATGATCAAATACTAAGATGTATTGCCCTTTTCCTTTTTTTAAGTAACTGCATTACAAATACCAGAAAATGAAAAAGTGACTGTACCTAAATACAGGAAAAAGTATTCTGGTTATGTATTCCGTTACACCAACACTGGGACTACTGGGTATGTCTGATTTTGATTAATTGCAATTTGTTTCATCGATTAACTTATTAACTTAATTGATTCAATTAAGTGTTTTAAAACATCTCCCTCATATAAAAGTTCCAAAGAGTGTTATCCTCTGCATATACAAAAATACCTGCCTGCCTCAAAAACAGGTATTTTAGGAGACTTCCATCTCCGCTGAACTGGAAGTGCTCGGTGGCTGTGCACCTGTGTTCACTACCAACCGCTCTCGACCCCCAAACACCTCTTTCACTGTAAACAAAGGAGAAAGCGCTCTCATACAGAGAAAAGCGAATGAAAGTTGTATATAAAAACATGGAATGTGATCATACCTGCAGCAACATCACTAATATCCCAAACTCTTAAACCTTCCCTCTGTCCTCCAAAAGCATAGACAAAGGGCAAATCAGGACAGCACGATGAGCAGAACATCACGCCCTGTTCACAAAGACAACACATTTGGCCAATGATACACAAAAACATTCAGTGTACAGGTATATACAATCCAAACAGAAAGTTGTACCATCTTCATATCTCTTGTGTGCACCAGACTAGGCTTGTTTCCCAAAATGTCCCATATTTTCACATGTTTGTCGGCTGAGGAAGTGACGAGACATCCTTTTATCTGACTGCTGAGGTTCAAACCTACAAAAAAATCAGGAGGATTAGTTTATTGGAATGTATTTCATTCAGAACAGTTTGCGTTGTCACCAACCCGACACTTCTTCATCATGGGCTCTTAACGTGAAAACAGGTTTATCTGAACGTGCATCGAGGCAATAGACAAAACCATCTTCTGTGCTGGCCTGCAACACATTCAGTTATCTTACAACCAAAACAGTTGGCCCTGTACAATGACAAAAAGGACATCAAACTTACCAGGAAATTACAAGGCGAAAAGTGATTCCAAACAAGACGCTCAACTTGACCACTAAACCTCCAGCTCCTGTAGCTGTTATCTGGACTACGGCAGTCATAAAGGATAGCGGTTCTGAAAAAAAAATCACATATGTGTGAGATCAATAATGTCCATCTAATTAAAAAGCAGTTGGTTACATTAATCTGTTGAACATGCAGTGCCTTGCATGACATTTTGTCATTGTCACACTATGTACGTGCACTATGGTTATGCATCTATACTTTTGACATCAATATTTTATGTTCAAATCGGCTTCTTCCACATTTGGCAAACAACATGTGTGACGTTAGCACTTGGTCTTATACAGACTATGGCCTTCACTTTTGCAAGCCAGTGCCTTTCTAGTCCACATGTTTTGCATATCTGTATAGTGTATATTTCTTAATGGTTGAACCCATTTCACTAGCATCATGATACTCACTTGTCAAAAGATCCTGATATCAAGGTCTGGGCCTCAAATGGATGGAATGCTAATGTTTGAACCTATGATGCAGAAAACAATTTGAGAAATACATTAAACACATACAGACCTTATTTTCTGTTGTAAGCTTACCTTGTCAGTGTGTCTCTTAAGCGTTGTTGCTGGTTTACCCTGTGCAAGATCCCACAAGATAATAGTGTCATCTGCTGAACCACTTGCCAAAACATTTCTACGCAAAAACAGCAGACAGTGAAAGACATGGACAGATGCATTATATTATGCAGTATATTCTCAAATGACTAACCTTACGAGTTTGTTCCAGGATAAATCTAACACAGCATCAGTGTGTCCTTCAACCAGCTGTGATGTAGCCCCCTGGTACAAATGTTGCCCAAGATAGAGAAATGAACATGAAAAACAGAATTGATCTGACTTTAGAATAGAATAATTATATAGCATTGGTTTGTCTGGTTTCTCCAACATTCAAAACACACCACACTATGGATAACAAGCGTTCTTATTATGCTCAAGTGAAAATGAGAGGGAACCCTCACTTAGCCATAAGAGTGAAATGGGTGACACAAGTATTCAAAAGATAAATGTTTGCATGCTTGATCACTCCATTTTACTTAACAAGTCTGTTATGGCAACCAACAAGAGCCTAAAGTGGACTTGCGTGTACCTTCTTGTTTTTCTTTTTCTTCTTTACAGCCTTTTTGCTTCCAAGTGAAAAAGCCGGCTCTAAACAGTCAACAACATCGAGATCCCACACGTCTATCTGAGGAGTCATATTACCCACTGCCGCGTAGTTACCTTAAACACATACAGCATTCATTTATTAAACAGTGAGTCGAGTTTAATTGGAAATGTGTCCGATTCTAAATGAAGAAAAAATACCCGGTCCTTCTCCTGGGCTTGGATCAAAGTCGAGCCACTCAACACACAGAGGATAGGCTGGCAGTAGGATGTCATGATGCACATAGAGAGAGTCTTCTTCAGAGTTGTATACTGGGAATAAACAAGAATAATCAAATAAATATATCATATAAGTGTAAACTAGAACCTCTTTTCTTTTTCTTTTTACCAAAGATTTCCAAATTACAGCAGTCCTTCTCCGTTTTCCCAGCAAGAATTAGATTGTCACTGGGTTTTATTTCAAAGTCTTCACGCTCATACTGATCCTACAAAACAAAATACATATTACTTGAGTTTGGTGTATCATTACAAGGTTGCGGTAAAAAATATGTTTATTTTATTATTAACAAAAAAGGTAGTGCAGATTATTACTGTATCTTTAATAGTGATGTATGGATCCTCTTCATTAGAACAGAACACAGTGAGACCAGCAAGACTATCTCCGAGATTAGCCGTGACTTTAAACAAAAAAAACAAACACAAGAATTTAAGTGATGGTTGAAATCCAGTAGTGTGTTACTGAATGCATTTTGTACTAGTTTTTGTACCTGGGTCCGTGTACTTTTGCGTTCAATACATTTTCTATTTTTGAAGGGAAATGGAAAATAAAAAAAAAAGGCTATTTTGCATTTTCAGGCACACAGCAATATACAAAAATGACCATTTTGGTTTTCTTCATTGCTTATACGACATATATATATATTATAATATCCGGATTTAGGAACTAGAAAGTGCAATAATTAACCTTTTTTTAATATGTATTTAATACATTTCGGCGTCAATCGATTACCCGTTTACTTCAGCCCTATTTGCTCTAATTTAGTATAATTTAATACGCAAATGACCTCCTGTATTTGTCCAAACACAGACGTCCTGTGATAATACTAATCCCGTGAGAATTTGCATGTCAGTGATTGTGATTGCCACTTTCTGCGTTGTTTTTTTGTCAATGAGCAGAGGAGTTGCGCATCGCTGCTGCGGTCTCTGTGAGGACTATGGAGAAGACAGTAGAGAACAGTGTAATGTGTTCACTGACACTGAATGATCAGATATATACAGTCTATGGATCAGATGGGTTGCATTTGTACGTGTACTTTGCACTCTGTGGTAATACCATAGATCCATGGGTAATACAGTACAGACGTGTTGCTGCAGCCGTTACTATTGTCGACTCGCACTTATATAAGCAGAGTATGTGGTTCACGAGTAGTCCATACAAACTATTATTAAACATTACAGACAGTATGGGCCAGAGAACTGTAGAGCAGTAAAATGTTTGTCCTCATGGTCTCTGTGGCTGCTGTGGTACAGTCTATGGGTCAGACGCGACTCTCTGGACTGTGTGAAGCGGCGAGACCATAGACTGTAAAAATTAACCCGAGACCCGCGCACGTACGGCCGTTATGTGACATGTCAGTGAAAATAGTATTTTACAGATATTGCTTATCTCGTGTGAATGCACTGCAAAATCTCAGACGTTCTCCGTGATTATCACAAATGATCAGGGGTCCACAGGTAATACTAAACCTGTGCGAGTAAACAAACTTGTTTCACTTCCGGGTAATCGATTGTCGCCAAAATGTATTTAATACAGAATAAAAAAAGGTTAATTGTCTTAGTTATAAGCAATGAAAACAACCAAAAAGGTCATTTTTGTATATTGCGGTGTGCCTGAAAATGCATATTAGCCTTTTTTTTGATTTTCCATTTCCCTTCAAAAATAGAAAATGTATTGAACGCAAAAGTACACGGACCTACCTGCCTAGGAACTGCTGATAAAAATGAGCTTTATTAACTATAATCCGGCATATTTACATTTGTTCACAGATATGTTCACTAACATGCATGGTCCCTATCAAATCAATAATGCATACAAATGTAATAACCTTAATATAATATAACATTTTGGAAGGAAATTAAAAAATAAATGTACCAAATGTCGTACATATATTGAATTACAAATGGATGAAAGGGTATGGTTATTTTACTGCATCTAGTATGAATGTGAAATACAATGTTCACAACAAAAAAACTATTTGTCACTATGGGGTTCACAACATTTGAGCAATTCCTGAATTCTTTATTGTTTACATTTCAGACTTAGTATTTATGTCTGCATAAGTTTCATCCAGGTGCACCAGTTTCCCCTACCCCTAAAAGCCTGTACAATAGTAATGGGAGTGAAAGATGGTGATGGTTAGGGGCTTTGATTTGCCAGTGTGTTTGGTATCTCGTTTCTGTCAATACTGTGTGTGGAGAAAAAATGGATATTACTGCCACACTGAAATTGTAAAGCACTCTGTGTGATCTTGGGCTGTGAAATGCCCTATAAATAAATATTACTTACTTACTATATACAAATAAATAAAGATTACCTACATACTAAATAAACTATCCATTAAATATAAACCTGTAAACTGTAATATTCTATTCAAAAAGACTTTCATGTGAGTTTAAAACAATTGAGATAATTAAGAAAAATCACCTGAATCTTCTTCATCGTATTTGTCAAGCCCATATTCGGCCAGCTCATCTTCCTCATCTTTCTCCTTTTTATCCTCTGGACTTTGAACAGTGTCCTCAGTCTGTACGCTGTTGGAGTTATGGTCATCAGTCTGCTCTTCGTCATCATCCTCCTCCTCAGCTGCTTGTTCACTATTTTTAGAGAAAAATAGATACAAACGATAACATGACGGTAAGGCTAGGCAAGTTTATTTGTATAGCACAATTCATACACAAGATCATAAATATTCACAGTACATTAAAAAGATAAAAATATAAAATACCTCAGTTGTATGCACAGCTAAACAGGACTGTTTTTAACCTGGTTTTAAGCATTGTCAGAGAGGAGGCCTGTCTCACATCTTCAGGAAGGTACTACTATTATTTGGACTAGTAAATGTATACCACATGTTAAAACAGCTGAAGCTAAGATGCTGATCAATAAATTACCTTCAAAAACAGACAGAAACATTAAGATGAAAAAAATAAAAACATTAAAATCAATTTACCCGAGCTCTTCTTTAGCTTCAGTTATAATGCGCTGCAGCTCCTCTTGACTGAGTTCAACCTGAACAAACATACATTAAATAAAAAACAAATATGTAACTATTGTTTTCATGAAAAAAACTAAGAAAATCAAAGAAGACGAATAAACAATGTTGATGTCAGATTAAGCCGTCAGTCGTCATACAAGTTGCTTACTTTGTCCGGAGTAGATTTGGCGACACCCCGCTTAATCCAACTCACACAAGTGATCTGAGAGCTCATTGTGTATCTGTTATAAGTGTCAAATCAAAGAACATCCGATGAACTAAGACAAATGATAGAAATAAACCCACAGCGGTGTCAGGCTGTGGCTGTGGGACGCACACGTGAAGTGAAGAAGCGGTCGCACACGAATGACGTCAGAGGTTTTCAAAATAACATAATGTTGATACAAAATAAAATATCAAGCCAATTTTTCGTTTTTCCTTTTCCTCATCAAAATGAAAAATGAAAATTCAAGCCATTTTTTGATATTTCATTTTCAATTTTAATTTGAAAAAACGATTGAACGAAAAATACACGTTATGGTTTTGATTGATCATTAAAGAAATGTAGGGTATTTTGAAAGGGGACGGGAGGGAGGGAGAAATCAGACCTACAAGCTGTTAAATGCAAAATTGTTTTATCGACTCAAAATTACAAAAAACACAAAGATAGTTAATCTAAAAGTTGAAAAATACACAGTTTACAGAACAAGTGGCAGTTGCACTTTATAGTGGTCAATGTTTGGCTTTTAAGATGCTTGAAGCACCATAAGATTCAAAAGTAATGGTAGAAACAATACAAAAGGTAACAGGCATCTCAGTCGATTAAATCGGTAGATTCAGTTCATATGGCTTTTAAAGACATCAGTTGAACTAGCTTAAAAAAACAACAAAACCACAACATAGTTTATCAGAAGAAAGTTGCATTGATAAATTCCATTAATACATCATGGATATGATGGCATGGTAATAGTGTCAGTAAGTAAAGAGGACAAGAATACCTTAAGCCACTTCTTTAAAACCATTACACAAATTTGTAAAACATCTTTTCTAGAAACCCTTGGAGACACTCTGGAGGTTCCTACGGATCCTAAAGTCTGGTTCAGGCCACAAGTGGTTTATTTCTAATTTTAGCATAACACTTTTTCCAGGACCAAAATTGAATTGTGACAATAGACCTAATAACCTCCTATCACTAATCAACAACCTACATGTAGCATGAATAAAATTGCAGGTCCCAACACTTGAAGATGTCTCTTGGTAATGTAACACTCACAGACTTAAACATTGTTCACAAGTTGCTCAGTCAAAATCCAGCTCTTCAGCCGACAGCTTTTGAATCTTTCCTTCTTGTATTTCATCTTCTGGATTTTTTAACCGTTTGGTCACCAGCTTCAGGTTGGTCTCATGGAGAATAACCTGAGTCAAGTATTTCTCACGCTTGATTTGTTCTTTGACTGCATAAGGGACATCAGGGATCACATAGGACAAGATGAACTTTGTGAAGTAAACTATATGCTGTGAAAACAAAATGGTTGGTTTTAGTACAATATATATATATTTCATGTAATGAAGCTTAATAAATACCTCAACAACAATAATAAAAGCCATTTTAGCAGCAATCACGTGCCAGTAGTAAACAGTGTGCTCGTATTCGCGGGGGTGCCCAGGAGGATTCCGGAAATCTCGATACCTAAAACACAACAGGTAAAGCTGCATGACACCAGAGGATATTTTTCAATCTAAAGTCACATGGTGTTTTGGCAACGCAAACATTGACTCGACCAGCACCCAAAATAACTCAAGAATAATTCTCACACGGGCCTAATCTGAAGGTCTCACCATAGTTCCTTTTTAACCAGCAAAACATCAGTGATTAGGCAAGGCAAGGCAAGTTTATTTGTATAGCACAATTCATACACAAGGCAATTCAAAGTGCTGAACAAAACAAGAAAGCATTAAAATCATAAATAATCACAGAACATTAAAAAGAAAGCTAAAAATATATAATCCCTCAGTTGTATGCACAGCTAAACAGAACTGTCTTTAACCTGGTTTTAAACATTGTCATTGAGGAGGCCTGTCTCACATCTTCAGGAAGACTGTTCCAGATTTTAGCAGCATGAATCTGAAAAGCAGCCTCCCCATGTTTAGTCCTGACTCTGGGCACTAACAGGAGTCCAGGAATTAGTATTTGTAATTGTCATTACAAGTGTCTACTAATGACAAATACCATTTTTTTTGCCCCTCTGCACTCCTCTGTCTCTGTAGTAAGTACGTACAAAAAAAATCAAAATAGCTGCCTATGTATGAACTTTCCAGCAGAACAGTTTTAAGCTAAACGTGGTTTACCTGCATGTGGTGATGTTGTGGGCGGGGCTCAGAGGGCGACTTTGTTCGTTGAAGTCACTGATGTTAAAAATGGACAGGGAGCTGTTGATGTAGCCTTCCATAGTGTTGTTGCGGTTTTCTTCATAGGGATACACAGAGAAGGACCAATAGTACACCAGGCGAGGAATCATGTCCGATGTGAAGGCTATGATCATGGCCTGAGAAAACCGACAAAGATGCTTTTTTTAACCGTATGGACATATTAAGCTTTATTACAAGTCATGCCACCAAATCAGGCTCAAAAACCCAAAACTAAAAGAAAACAACAATCATTTTCTTCTGTAATTTGGATCATAACAATCAGAAGCATGAAGAGAGGAAAACAAAGACAGAGGTGAGTTTGAGTGGGGGTGGTGGTGCATTACAGATGGGTGGTGAATAGACTCTAAACTTGCACAAGGCCATGACATTTTACAACAGCCGCTGGATTAAGGAGGCCATCAAGTTCAGGAAGCGGGGCAACAACAGAGCCCCCACATATGACACCCTCCTTCAGAGACCACTGTTAGACTACCACGCCTACATAAAGCCCGGATCTAACCGCAATCTGGGACTAAGGCAAGTTCACTTTAACTGGGCTCTAGGTTGTGCTTGTGACCGCAGCCTTAGGAAGTAACATCAGCTGATAAAATGACACCAAAGGGGGTGACAATTCTGAAGAGAAGGTTAATTGAATCTCAACCAGTAGTCGTCTATAGAGTAACAATTAACAATCAGAATATTTTTTATTGCCATTGTAAATAACAGGAAGTCACAAACTAAGAATTGGCTTTGGCTCATGGTGAAAACAATTATAATAGTAAATAACTATATAAGGCAGTCTTCAAATTACCACTATATACCAGAGCACTAAGTACACACAATAGACATTTAACAGTGCAGGTTAAAGGGACAGTGGTCTACGAGGACGGTCTCTGATGTTATTATTGTGGTAATGTTCATACAGAGGTTATTTGGTCTTTACTACACATTGGCTGAAGTTCTAAATTAAATTTCTAGCAGCAACATCTCTTCTTTGAGCGAAATGTGTTTAATGAGTACTCAGTGACTTGTTGTCAGTATATCTATTATATGGTGATATTGTGTCTCTTGCTTTGTGGAGATCTGTCTTAACCAGACTGTTGTTGTGTCTCGCACTGTTAATAAGATGAACAGTTCAAATTAGTGTTACTGAAACTGCCTTGAAACATAAACTTAACATCAATTTTGTACTTCTGTCAGTGAGGCTCTCTGGTCTCTCTCTGGTCAGTAAAGTCAAAGTCAATGTCATGACATATTTAACTGATTGTTGATTATCCTATAATTATCCTATAATTCAGGAAGTGGAGATGTAGTTGTTTTGTGTGCCTTTATATCCTTATTCTGTACTATTTTCATTATAATATGTAAAGTTTGATTGTAATTGACTTTTGAGGAGCGGTGCTGATAAGCTCTTTGCTTCATCCCACTCCTTTTGTGCAGTATTAATACAGTTCAAATATTTAATAATAAAAAATAAAATAAAAATGTTGCCTTTTTGGTGAAATGGACAATCTTAAATGTTATAATACGCCCACATAACTCACATTTGTGGCCACCGCGAGGATGGCAATGCCTTGGAGAATAGGCTGCCAGGCTCCGATGGTGCTAGCCTTTTCTGGGACCATGCGGCGGAACTGAGTGGTAATTTTCCAGGCGTCCACTCGAATCTCAAACACATTATTGACAAGAGCCAGGACCGGTGCCAGAGGGAAGGAGGCCACAAACAGCGTCACAAAGCCAAACTGGATCACTGTAAGAGACATCGTCACTCCATGAAGGGTTTCATGGAGCTCAAACGACCAGTTCAGGCTGAGGAGATTGACATGAGGGCTGCATGATTAATCGTAAATTAATAAAAATCAACAGAGAATAGGGAGGCAGACAAGCAAAACGAGTTACAAAGGGATGATAGCTGGGTAACTGTAAGAGTCTGTTTTGTTGGGTTTTGAAGAGTTCCTAATCTTGGGCCTTAATCCACATTACAATTTAAGTTGGTAACATTATGGCTGCAAAATGCTTTCCATCTGTTCTTTTCATGGTGAGATAAAACACTTTTGGCCAGTGGAGCAGATTTTCTGACTAAATTGATTTGTTTGTCACTATCAAAAAATATTTCTTTCCCATAGAATTGTATTAGCCCCTGCCCTACAACTGAAATACAACATGGGCACAATCCATTGACCTTAGAGTAAATATACAGTTGTAAAAAAAGCTGCAAGACGACTGCCATGTTACATCCACATTAATTAAAAAGCACTTACCCATCTCAAGATACTCATAAAAAAGGCCCAATTTGGAAATGGACTGGAGCCGGTAGTCCTGCTCCCACCGAGGACACCCTTTATCTGAGGCAACACTCTTACCACTGCAGTGTCGGGCGTACAGGTTTTTCAGCCATCTACATAGAATGAGAACATGATTATACTTGATTAAATTTACTGTAAAATCAAGTTTACAGTAAATCATATTGTCTGAAATAGCAAAAGGCTTATAATGCTTACGGTAACAAGACCTCCTGAATGTTGTTCCAGATAGCTTTACCTCCCATGATGATGGACAACTGAGTGGTCAGTTCAATGAGGCAACCACCGGGATCACACTACAGTTAAAACATATAATATAAATAAGGATCAATGGTAGTTAATTGTAAATAATCGCAAAATTGAATAGAATAGACTGTTCGAAAGCAAACTCTAATAGAATGTGAATGATCTTTCAGTGAAAATTATATGTTTTTATACTGTAGGTACCTCCTCATTCCTGTATTTCCCCAGTAGATACACAGGCTGCCCGGGAAAGCCCACTGCCTTCCCCTTGGCAAACGCAATATAGAAACAGGAGGAGTAATAGTTGACAAATTGAAAGAGAAACATCTTCAGAGTCAGGCTGTTCTCATATTCTGTCCTGGTGCGAGGAAGCTCTGTCAGAAAACAATATACAAGTAAAGGATTATTTGTAGTAGTATCATCTAAATTAAGTGTTTTTCATCATACAAATATTTAATGAATTGCGGCCAATCAGAAATCTGTGGGGGTTGGTCTAACTAGTGCTTGTATTGAAAATAATGTCTCTTCACCTTCACAATTTGTAAATAACTAACCTTGATTTACTTTAATTAAATTGAGTTCATTTTTGACCAAAAGAAAAACCTTGATGATTTCAAATGCATAAATCATTATGGAATAAAATAGGATAGCTAATAAAGAAATTAAATAAACAATCTAGAAATACTATTTTTAGATAGTAGATAACTGTAAGTGGTCATTCTCAATAGCAATATACATTCAGAGTATCTTAAAATAAAACTATTGCTTTAAAATTAGTTTTGGGAATTTCTCCTGTCAAATTTTACAATATGACTTATCTTAAATAACATTATAAAGGCATAATGAAATTTCCCATAAGATATTTTGCATTGACCCATATATTTTCTAACCTGGATCACACCGAGACCTGAGATCTACCACACTAAACCCATTTTGAAGAGTCTGTAAACTCAGAAATGAATCAATTGTGTACAGCAAGCCTACACATTTTCTAAATAACTAAGCACACAAAAACACTCAATTTCCAGATATGAGCTGTATAAGTAATCGACCAATCGCCATTGAAACAAATGCGCATATAACCAGCCAGCCTTTTCAAACCGGTTTCTTTTCCGCATTCAACAAAGCACTCAAGTGCATTCTTAACATACAGTCTATGATCATGAGTAAGGATAGTAAAATGAACACAAATAATACACACAGTAATAATTATTCTTTGAAACATACCAAAGTTAGTGATCCAGATGGCCACACGCTCATACAGCATGTTCAGGATCATAATCACCACAAAGTTTATGAGAGACGCCGTGACAGACGTGGCCATTTGAGGCGTCACATATTCCTTCAGCGGCTCCAGTTCTTTGAGATCTTCTTGGCGAAGCCTGGTGGAAAAGGCAAAGAAAGCAGCCAGTCGATAGATGGTGATGGCGACGACGGACGCAATGATCAACATGATCTGAAAAGAATGACATTTAGTGAACCAACTGAATCTTTATCAGAATCAGAAAGTGTGAGTTAAAACATACCCAGAACATCACAGTGCCCATGCCGATGGACAGACGCACACATTTCCCACATGTTGAATAAGGCACTTTTTCCATCACCTAGATAAAACGTCATTTTCATTCAATAATTCAAAATGTGAAATATAATAGGGCGTAAAATGGCTGAATTCTGTTGAAAAGACCTCGGTGGGAGAGTGCCAGCCACATACAGTATTTGTTTCTTCTGGGATTCTGACTTTTTGAGCTATCTTAAGAATCTTGATGTACAGATTTATTTGTCGGCTGAATCAATGTCAGAATGTGATTATCATGAGCCAGACCAGCATCAGAATCAGTGCCACACACGATCAGTCTGAGCTGTGGCGTCACTGGTACAGTAGTCTGCTGTAAATATGTATGCTTATTTATATGGTTTTTTTGTGACGTCTTTTTTATCTGGACCTTGTGTCTACTCTGTAATAAAGTTTAATATTATGCTCTCCAGTGGCTGACTGGATAGCACTCTTGCTTCTCAGTGGGTTCGAATCCAGGTCGGAACAGGGCCTTTCTGAGTGGAGTTTGCATGTTCTCCCCGTGTCTGCGTAGGTTTCCTCCGGGTGCTCCGGTTTCCCCTGCCACTAAAATGGGGCTTTGATGTGCATGTGTTTGGCGTCTCACTTCTGTCATTACCATGTGGAGAGAATGGAACAATATCTGAACTCTGAACACTGAAAAGCGCTTTGGGTGACCTTGGTCTGTAATAATGCGCTACATAAATAAACTAAATAAAGATTACTTACTTACATACTCTCAACCTTATTTGTATCACAATAAGTTTTCTTTACCATACAGGATAATATAGCATCTCCTCTAATGCAATCTGTTTGTCCGTTTTCCTGTCCCCATGCACATCTCTGAATATGCAGTAAACATGGGTTACCCCGGTGATGGGGTTCTTCTGCTCGTAGATGCACTTGGCCTCGTATTCAGGACGAGGCGGCTCCTCCTGCTCCAGAAACTCCACTGTGTCCCATTCGTACTCCAGCTCGGCCTGGTAACGCTTCCAGAACTCCAGGAAAACCGTCACTGCAGGAAACGGACGCACACAGCAAGAAAAACACACTATTTAAACAAGTAAACGGTCACATGCAAAGCTATTGGAACAGTTTTAACGACCAGTTGTGTTTTTGAATCAGGATTAGGGTTGTAACAAGTTAAATGTAATATCTGACACTTCAAATGCATTTGGAAAAAATAGGTATAGTCTAAATAAAGTATTTCTCATCATACATATATTTAAACCAGTCTTAAGCATCACCAGTAAGATTTGATAGAGGAAATTTGTAGTTAGAGAGTAGTTAGTTAGAAGGTGAGAGATCTAAGCTTTCTATCAGGGATTTCAGCTTAGTAATAACATAATTTTAGTTTTATTAATTTGTCATTTTCAATTTGTATTTGTATTATTATTATTATTATTATTATTTGTATTGTCTTCTTGTCTTTGTGTTATGTTTGTTCTGTTTGGGGTTGGGCTTGTGTTTTTGCTTAATAATAATAACAATACAAATGATGAAAATTCTTACCCCATATAGACATGAAAACAGCAAATACTAGTGTTGAAAAATTGTCAAATATACAAAGTTTCTAGAAAAAGAGAAAATAAGCATACGTTAATAATGAGAATAATAATCAGGCCTGTCATGACGTTTGGCAGTCAGCTCGTGGTCACCTTAGAAGCCTCACACGTGCTGTTCAGTCTCCAGTACTTGCAGTGTTTGTCGCACTGTGGACACATCACAATCTGCCCTCCGATGTCAGGGTCACACACCTCTTTACTGCGGACAAAAAAATACATCTTAAGGCAAGTGCTTTTGCTTTGAGGATAATGTCCTATCATTAAACTAACTGGTTCTGGAAAAGGGCCAGTATGGCTGCAGGTTTTACTACAGTTTGGCTCTTTGAAGACGAATGGCATTTGTGTGTTTCAATAGATTCAATTACATACATATTTAAAAGTTAGGATTTTTGTTTATTAGCTCTTTATAGAAAACATGTTATATTTTGCATATTTGTAAGAAAGAGCCATTATTATGTGAGTCACTTTTTCATGCTAAGGCGTGAGAGCTGATTGTCTGAGCCGATCAAAAGTACGTGCATGTGAAAACTAGGAGTGGAACCGAACTGTTTTGAAAGCGAGGAACTTTATTGTGTATTTCCATTTTTAGGTATCCCAACTTTAAATTCGAAAAAAAAAAAACATAAGCAAGTGGCAGACTCTTGATTGAAAAAGTGACAAAGTAATATATTTTGATGTATGTCATATAAGCATTGTGCAAAGTGTGAACCTCCAGGTGCTGGTTTCTTGAGTCTTGTATCCGTAGATGAAACAGCCCAGTCCCACCACCGCAGCCACGGCCAACATGATCGTGTAGAAACCCAACCAAGCAAAGTAAATGCCAATCTTCTCCCCGTAATATTTCCTATGGAACAGAACAGGCAGTGTCATTACTATGTTTATTCATTACTGTAGTTATTGTAAGAATAGAGAAACTACAATAGGCATGAACTAATTTGAGAACCCATTTGCAGTAATCTCCTCAGAGAGAGATTAGCTTTGAAAATAATATCTGGTGCATAATTCTTTCCAAAATATATAAACAATACAAAATCACTACTCTGTTTGTCTCTGTTTCAACAGACATACATAATATTACGTATTTAAACATAGTATTAGTAATTTACCTTATTAAGTCTAAAGGCTGCATCTTGTAAAAGCTTTTGGGATGTGCCCATTCTTGGAACAGTAGATATCTCTCATTGGGGCAGTCATCTTCAATGGACTTTACATTAAACCTGGTCTAAAAACACAACAAAATAATGAAATATACTCATTGTATATTTTTTACTTTAAATGCTTTAGAAAACTTACATCATGTAGTGGATAAGCAGCTTTGTAAACGCCACTGTCCAGGAGCTTGGTGATGCCGAATTTCTTAAGGTTCCCACGTATGTCATAGGGTGCGCGGCTCAGAATGTAAAAGGCCTAGGGAAATAAAGTTCCAACACATTTCTAAATTCAGTGCACAACAAAAAAATTAAATTAAATACAAAAAAATATAAATATAAATAAAATAATGTTATGATAAAATGCATGCTCTATTCGAAATGCCGCACAATTGTAAAGAATTATTTTACCCGCTCCAGTTTAAAAAAATAAAAAATAACCAGCTTGCATGGTATCTCCGTAAATGAATTTTCTGCTCAAATTAATTTATCATAAAGTTAAATGAAAACAATTAAACATACAGGTCTGTTAAAATAATGCTTATTTTCCCCAAAGATCCAAAGTTGTTAGTGTTGCAAATGATTTACCATCCTGCTCCTCATGGAGTCTGTGAAAAACAAGTCTTTGTCCTTCATGTAGAAGTATTCCAGGCGGTCCTTCTCAAACGGGGCGGTGAAGTACTCTGTCTCTTTGTGGATGAGTTTTTCGTCTGGGTAAAAAGCTTTGGTGATCCAAGAGAAATATCTCCATATGGACGGGCGGGAGGACAGGTCGTTGGGCTGGATGGGCAGCTTGATGTGCAGGACCTCAGCGTACGTGCACAGGACTTCCCAAGGCATGTGGATCTTGACAAAGATCAACTTTTCGTCCACAACCTTCAAGAAAGAAGCACACGAGGAGAACTTAGTGGTTTAATAATATCTACAAAATAAACTTAAATAAAGAACAACACATTTCACCAAAAAAATAAAATAATAATTTGTATCTATTGACTCCAAATTTGCCCTGTTACATTTACATTAGTTTTAATCAATGATAAAGTTGCTCATTCAAATGCACGAGTAGCGACTCCAGTAATGTGTCTGGTCACTGCCACAGGACGCCAGAATCACACACCATCACCTTTACCACCTGTGACCCGCAGAGAGAAGCTACATGTCCATACAGGGGTCGCATTTAAACAAAAGTGTGTCAAAATTCTGTATTCAAGTGATACATGACCACGCTAGAGCGTGGAACAAATGCAGAAAAGTACCCATGAATAAAATCCCTGCTCAAAACCCACTCAAAACTGCCTTACCGCTGTCCCATCCGCCACCTCAGATCCACAGACTCTAACCTCCTCACTGCAATCAGGACAAAATACTGAACCTTGGGGGACCGGGCCTTTGCTGCAGCTGCCCCCACTCTCTGGAAATCACTCCCTCAACCCATCAGAAACTCAGACTCAATACAGAACTTTAAATCTCTTCTCAAAACCCACCTGTTTCAGCTTGCGTTTCCTCAATTTTGTTTTACAAAGTTTTAATTTTATGTGTTGTAAAGCGTCTTTGAGTGTCAGAAAAGTGCTGTATAAGAACGACGTATTATCATTAATAGTGTTATTAGGGTTAGGTATAATACATCATTCTTATACAGCACTTTTCTGACACTCAAAGATGCTTTACAAAAGGGAAAATAAGCAGTTAAGTTTAGGCAGTATTGAGTTCTTTATCACTTTTTGCCAATGAGAAGTGCAGGTGCGTGTGCGTGAGGACGTGTCGAAGTGATTAGTGTGTACGTGTGTGGGTGAGTGAGGAGGATGTCTGACTACATGTCTTTCAGTGTGCGGACAAGATCGGCGATGCATTATGGTCAAATGGGTCAGACCATAAGTGCACAAAAGCCAGGAAAACCCATGATCGCCCCTTTTCTCTCGACAGTTCTCCAGCGAGGTCTGAAGTTTGCATGGCTGTCCATACTCTCACATAATTTAATCACACAAAATATTTCTGTTATTCTCAAATACTTTGCATGTCTGGACGTCAACACTGAGCAAAAACCCAAGATATAATAACGTGTAAAGACAATGTGTATGAATCGGAATAAGATTGTGGTCTATATGTTGTGAGCAGAAAATTGCAGAGACATGTTCACACACTAATTTATTATGATATTTGTGGTTGTATGATAAGGACAGGTATAATCATACAAGGTACATCTTACTCCTATTCAGACATGTGTTTTGTACTGACATGACTTTATTTGATACTGTATACTTACAAATAATGCATTCAAAATTAACAGGAAAGTTACTCACTGATCTTGTTGCCTCCAACTCCATCCCCATCTTCATCAGGCTTGCTTCAAAATACTCTCTTCGTCTCTAAATATGAACAATGATAGGTCGTGAGTGGTGGTCCTGTATTAATCCTTTGCTGCTCTGTATAAAGCAATGGAGCACTGTTAAGAAGATTGGCTCAAATTCTGAATTGTTGTGGGGTCTTTCATTAAACCCCAGATTAAGCACAAGTGTAAATATAATACTGTTGACAATACAATCCACTCTTCCTGTTACCCTGAACTCCACCCGGAGCTCGTCCTCATAACAAACTATAAGAAGTTTGGCAAGCGTCTGTGTGAGCTTGTGAGGGAGTGCCGCTGCTCTCCTCATCTATCAAAGGGTTTAACATGGATTACACACATTAAATTAGGATATATTACATTATACACAAATAATTATTAGTAAATACAGTTGTGTTTAGGCTAATGGTGCTATTTTAAGTTTGATATCTATTTGATTATACTGGGATGTAGTGAATGATGCATCATAAGAATCTGGCTGCATGGTAACAAGTGGATAAACCACCACACAGTGATGCAAGTTGTGGTTAGAAACATTCATTGCAATACAAACCCCAGGCTAGTCACAAAAGGCTGAAGCCAAGCTATCGTCTCCAACTGTAAGTAATAATAATAATCATATTTCAATGGATGATTCTTATACGCCATAATACATAATACAACACGCAGCACTTAAAACAAATACAACTCCTTGTACAAATACAGATTTGTCAAGACAGACAACAGTGTGATCTCATATGTTCCGGTCTCAAGGGAATATAAAAGACGTGTACATGATTTTTATGCAAAATGTAATCAATGAGGGTCTGTGTCAGTCCCTGTTCACTTATACTTTAGTAGTTTTTTGTAGTTGTCAAGTTTTATTTTGTATGTTGCCTAAGTAAGGCAGAAAACATACATAAACATTATAAATAAGAGCTCATATCAGGTTTTTTGTATGAGAATCAAATATGTCATAACTTTCACACTACTTTACTCAAAACCTTACTCCAATAAATATTTGAGGCCTGAAAATTAACAGTAGTTTGTAAAGCTCACCTTGCGTCTGGCAAAGGTGTGCCTCTTCTCAAACTCTTTCATCTCCTCGTCTTCATACACCAACACGAAGTCAATCCTCCGGACGCCATCGTTGAAGAAAAGTGTGTCTTTTTTGCCGTTGAACTCGACCTTTGAGCAGAGACAGGGATTGTCAGGTAAATCCATGTGGCGAAACTCGAACTGCTCCTCCTCCATCGTCCCATACATTTTGTACAAAGAGGTCTGAATCCTACTGTCTTAAGTAAAGTGACCTTGTCTGGACTAAATCCAAGAGGGAGGAACTAACATTGTAGCACCTAGCCTCAACCCTCTGGACTGCCTTGCTGTATGGTAAACAATGACAATACCATGTGTGTCCACTGTTGCTCTACTTTGACACTTTGTCCCATACCCTCAGGCTGATGACATGTACAGACGTAAACATACTGCTTTTTAGAATGATCAATTTATTTGTTTTGTTTGTGTGGATGGATGTGTTTTTGCTGCTACTGGACACCTGAATTTCTCCAACAGGGATCAATACAGTATCTATCTATCTATCTATCTATCTATCTATCTGCAACTATATATTACTTATAATATACTTTTTTACTAGAATACACAGTACTTTATACTTGCTTCTTACTATGAATCCTATAATAGTGGCAGTTTATTGGATTCTGGGCTGTCCACTAGCTAGTTATAATTGAAGACCTATTTAAAGAGGGTTTTGGGCCATCACTAATTAATAATGATAATGTCATTTCATATTTTAGAATGTGAAATATTATCTTAAAGCTGCACTAACTGACTTTATTTTTGTATTCATTACGAAAGTGCTATCCATGTCCATGTAGTGCATTGGGATATACCTCCTTTTGAAGAAAAAGTAGCGCAGATTTGTGCTGGTGTGACATTATATTTTAGATCCAGTTTTGATGAAACAAGGAAGAGAATGTGTTTCGGGTCGTAGATTGTGACCAATCACATCGGACCACTAGCCCCCACTTTCGTGAGAAATCTACAGGTCCGTTAGCATAGACGGCTGAGAAAGTCCCGTTCCTCCGCGCTTCCCGGTTCTATCGTTCTATGGTCACGCCATCCACGTGCAAATCCATATCCATGTATTATCCATACTGGGAGAGGCTAGCTCCGTCAACAACAGTGGGTGTGTGTGGGGGGCGATAGCTTCGTGGGTGCGGGGAGGGGAGCAGAAAGAGAGGCCAGCGAGTCCGCAGCTTCAAAATCCCAAAGTCAGTTAGTGCAGCTGTAAGTAGGAAAAATATGGTGAAACCCTCCAGTCTCAAAGCACTGTTTGATCACCAGGCCAGACTGAGCCTTTCTGATTCTGTGGACTTTACATGTTTTGTCTCATTTTCTAGCACCATGCCATCAAGTTTTTTTTCCTCGCACTCTCAAAAAAATGGGTATAATTCAGGTGCTTCAGATAAGAATCAGAATCGGAATCTTTTTTATTGCCATGTAAGTAACAGGAAGTCACAGACTATGAAAATTGCTTTGGCAAGAGAGGTAGAGAATAGAGTAAGGTATAGTAAAAATCAGAATACACTTCTAAGGTATAAGAAGGAGAACACTCAATAACCAGGTAATGACCACAACACCAGTCATTGTTTGAGTCCATACAGTGGTTGAAAACAACATTCACTCACCTCTACAGCTTTGGCTCCTTCTTCAATACTGTGATAAGTGGGTAAAAACTCTTCAGGGTAAACTGAAAACAAAAACAGATGTAGGCGTTAAAGGAAGGACTTAAATGAAGCAAATCAACAAAGTCATAATTTCTACTATTTATTTATTTCAATTAATACATTTTTCTTGATGATGGTGCTACAACATGCTTGAGGAACTGAAAACATGTGATCTGCTCCTGGTGCACACGCCTCCTACGACGGTGCCCCCACTGAGCACTGAGACTCTAGTTTGGAGGAAGTCACTTGGGTGCTTGGGCATGTGTGAACTGAACACTTTGAACTGCAACCAAGAGTCAGTCGTTTTTATTGAATGAGTCATTATTGTCGCTTTTTCATAGAACATCGGGATCATGGGAAAATGTATTTCTCAATATGAAAAATGTGTTTGTGTGCATTGTTGAGTTCACAGTCCACACACAATTCAAAAAAGCACAATGCATCTATACACGGCCGCTGCCCACACACACACAAGCATAAAAACACTTCTATGAAATCGAAATATTATTTTTATACCAGTTTAGTCTATTGCTTAAACTAACATTTAAAACAACAAATGTCATATGGTGAATGCAGTAGCACCAAAGATCGATGAATCATTTCCCACATTAAAATTGAGCAAGATCCCGGCTCACTGGTTTTTAGAAAAGTAGCTCTCAATTGGATAAAGTGTGAGCACCCTTGAGTGATGGAAGGAGAAATAAGATTGCACAGGGCTAATATGGCCGAGAGCTCTGATGAGGGAGGAAGCGGTTACAGATTTGCTGTAATCAACCAAACATGTTTTATGCCGGAGATGTATACACTAGCGAACTACAGTACAGCACTAGTATTTCATAGGACTATATACAAATTATATATGCAGTACAGTTGTTTTTTCCACAAATAAGTTGTTGACTCAAAAAATAATCATTGACTAATAGTTGGTCATAATTGTTTGTGACAGCCCTAGTTTGAAGACAAGATGTTTTTAATCAAAGCTGCTCCACATAGAGAACAGCAGCACAGGTTAGCGGATCAGTGCATCTTTAATATATCACAGGTTGTGTTCAATGTACAGCTTACAGTAATAGATTGAGCATGGTTCATGTTTTATAGCAACGTAGAAGCAATCTGAGAAGGTTTCAAATAAGGCCACACATTCCGATAGCCTGAACTAGCATGCTGGATTTAAACAAGGTTAGCCCAAAACGTCACTATTGTGGTTCGTAAATAAAAAACATGTGGGAGCTACATAGCTGTGCAGATTTTTCTTTATTTTCTCAAAACAATATATATCCACATAATCAAAGCTGGCACTGCTATATGGAGTCATTTTCTCATTTTCTTTAGCAGTTTATTATTGTTTTGAATTAGTAATGTTCCAGGGGAAAGGCTGGATACGAATGCACTATAAATCAGTAACATAATAGTGTTTTGCACCATCACTTCTGACCACAGTTCTCCTGTGAGGTTTGTTCAGAAAAGGGGGAACATATTGCTTTGTAATGGATAAAATATTGTGTTTCCCCACTGAGGAACTAATAAATGTTATATATTTTCTATGTATTTGATTTAATAATTATTTCACCACAACAAATTTAACTACAAGCGTAGTCTGGCCAATGTGTGCCCATGTTCCACATTAAAGTAAAAGACTAAAACAGAAGTCATATGTTGTGTTCATTACAATGCCCCTCAGGGAATCACAGCTCTTTGTATTGAATTGTTAGGGTTTCTAGAGGAGGGGAGCGCTGCAGTAAACAAATAATGACCAAAAAGGGCAAGGCTCACTTAAGAGAACTTGTAACGGTTAAAAACCCAAATTCCTATTTAATAAGTTTTTAGTATCCTGTGATGTGGGAGGATTTGCTCAACTAAAAGATACACAAGCTTTTTCTAGTTGTTACAAAATGGCCACTAAAACATAAAACCATGAGTGATATCCTACAAGAACCTGATGCATTTCATGATTTCATGATGCATGCAAGTGAAAAAAACAAGCCGTCTCACCGCAAACACACTTCCTCTTTGAGCATTATAACACCCAGCGTGCAATGTGTCTCTCAATTAGACGTGATGCTTTCCTGAATCATCACCAAAATAAAATGTGTAATAAATATGTAATACATATGCAAGCAAAATACCTTCTGCACAATATTGAAACAATAAACAAAATGTGTTATTAAACAGGATTAAACAGTACAGCACATATTCGATGTAGTGATAGCGTTATTATTATAGATCCATGAGTGATAGTTACTTTACATCTCCCTCTTTGTAAGACAGTGACACCACGTGACATGAGGCTGTCAGCCTACATGGACTGGGAACACAACATTTGCTCCAAAAACAAAAAAGGGGGTTTACTGTGTGACTGTGCACCGCCTTGCAGTTGCTCATGTCAGGAATGTGACTTACTAGGAGCAATGAATGAATACAATCAGGAATGGCGGGATTTCATAATCATAACTGAAGAACTTTGGTTCTTTTTTGTTGTTGTAATTAACATTTAAGACAATGTATTGTAGCCATGAATCTCAAGAGGTATTTTAATTCTATAGTTTACCAATTTTGGACTTGACCTAGTATTGCCTACGTAGTAAATACACATAGTACTATTATTAGTGTTAGATGTGCACATTTACAAATTACACAATAAAATATAATTTGTATTCTTGTATAGCCCTAAATCACAACAGCAGTCATCTCAAAGGACTTAACAAAACCATTGAAATCACCAACACAGATTAGAAAATCAACAGTCCTTCTTAAGACGTGCCTGTCCTGCACATAAGAGGCACAACTTCAAAAGTGTTTATCATATTGACAGGATCTGACTGTCAACTATAATAAATACTTTGAAAAGTCAAGTCAGAAAACGTGACACAACTTATTGGCATGTTCTTAAAAACTTTTACGAGTTGAACAACAGCGGCATTGCAACTCAACTGAGACATCGGTAGAGCTTAAAGGAAAACAAACAGCTCAAGGATATGGCCAACAACTCCAGTGCAGCGCCCATGTTAAGAAACACTCCAAAAACCCATTGTGTAACACTGTGAAACTGTTTTCTTACCGATTTCTTCCTCTATCATGCCGAACGCGGTGTCTCCATCGGTCTCAGACACAGAGTCCATCTCCAGCACGTCATTCCCGTTCAACATCGCAACGAAACTTTGTATCAAGACCAGGCTAAACTCAATATTAACAGCCCGGCTATTATGTCTCCCAAAAGGAATTCGTTGTTCATGGTTGTATTTATTTCTCAACTTCCATCCAGCCGCAGAGTTTTGGTCATGTTGAGACTTGAGAGAATGAAAAGTCGGCGGGTGGGGTCCCAACAGAGAGGGAGGGGTGTTACTGTAGCAGACAGTTACGCCCCCTAACCCTACTGTCATCATATGTGATTGGAATGACATGATACAACCTTATAGATCCATGGATTAAACACAGAAGGAAGTTCAATCTAAAGTAAGTAAGTAAATAATGTTTATTTAAATACCGCCTTTCACAGACCAGAGTCTCAAAGCGGTTTACAATTGTTATTATTTGGCCATTTGTCTCTCACTCCACACAGAGATGGGAGCGGGGTCGCCAGTACAGGAGGCGCATGCCAGAACTATTGGACATGTTTTTTTAGTGCTAGAGGAAACCGGAGTACCCGGAGGAAACCGGGGAGAACATGCAAACTCCACTCAGAAAGGCCATGGTCCGACCAGGACCTTCTTGCTGAGAGGTGAGAGTGCTATCCACTCAGCCACCGTGCCGTGCAATGTATTTTTGTACAGGCCTAAATCACAACAGTCTGAGGACTTCAAAAAGTTTTCGATTCACCAACGCAGATCAGAGAATCAAACATTCCTGTCTGACAAAATTAATAAATTAAAGTCACTATTCAACAGTTAGATGTGCATTTAACCAAGCACATTATTTTTTTGGTTTTAAGTACTTTTGGACAGGATTATTTTTCTAAAAAGACACACACTTTGTACCTAACTAACTATAGATTAAACAATGTGCTCATATTCCTTCTTCTGTTCTAGTACTTCCTCTCCTGCTTTATACACTTATATACTTATTTTCATACTTCTGTTACTTGTCTATTGTGTGTGTATATATAAGTTTGAATTGAGATTGTTATGCTTGTCTCAATATCTTTACTTTTTCACTTATTTCACTTATACTATTAATTTTAAACTGGCAATACAAATGCTTGATCCTGATTCGACATTGTGGCTGAGTGGATAGCACTCTCGCCTCTCCTCAAGAAGATCCTAGGACCCATACTCTCCCCGTGTCTGCGTAGGTTTCCTCCAGGTACTCCGGTTTCCCCTACCACTAAAAACATATACAATAGGTCTGGCATGTGCCTCCTGTACTGGCAACCCCGCTCCCATCTCTGTGTGGAGTGCTTATTATTAAAGCTCCATGGTGGAGTGAGAGGACCAATGCCCAAAAGTAACAATTGTAAACCGCTTTGTGACTCTGGCCTGAGTTTATATAAATAAAGATTACTTACTTATACTTATTTACTTACTGGGTTCAGTATAATGCCATCACTTGAGAGATATTACCCTGCAATCACGTTGTCTAAAATTATGGTTTGACAAATTATATTATAAGAACATGTGTAATTAATTGAGTGAATTATTAAAGTATCCCAACAAAGTATTTGTTGTGAATCATGCACTTTAGGATGAAAAAAATCCACGTTTCTTCTCAAACTCTAAATTTATTGGGGTGAAAATATAAGTTCTAATTTTAAGCAGGTATCATTCCATCAAAAAAGGACACAAGAACATCCTTGGGCGCATTGTTCAAGGAAACCGATTACCAGTTAAAGGAAACATACTTAACTTATAAATTCAACAATTTGTGTCCCTTGTTTGTCACTGTGAACTAGTTTGTTTCTCCCTTTCCTTTGTTTCATCTATTTTTAGGAACCATTATGTGTGGCCTCTGGGCTCGGGGGAAGGAATATATCAACGGACCGACGAAGGCACATTTCCGCAAATATTTTTTTCCCACTTCAAACATATTTGTAACATAATATATCAGTTTTCAACATTACATACGCATACATATAATTGCAACTATGTTAGGTCATCACTAGCAGACTGTATAAATGAATTTGTTTTCATAATGTGCTCATTTGGTCTTTTTACGGAAGGGAGGATAATACAACCAAGCGGGTGAACTTACGTTAGCATTTAAGCTAGCGCTACGAAGACAGAAATGAGCCTGTATCATGTGCCGTGTTGGCTTGGCTAAATGTGTGTTGATAGTGATGATGAATCTGCCCGGTGACTGTCAACCTTCGGCCTGGATGTAGTTTTGTGACAGATTTCACATATTTCGTGTTTCCGTGACCCAGACGACTCAAATATACGCCGGTGAGTTGTATGCATTTTGTCTGACATTGGAATTAATATATTTAATGTACATATTTTTCTATACCTCCTGTGTTCATATGAATGATGCGGTATATTTTGCAGTTAAACCTTTCAGTGTGGTCAATATGAAGATGTTCTCAGTGGCTCACAAGACTGTCTTTGTAGTGGATCACTGTCCCTACATGTCAGAGTCGAGTCGACAGCAGGTAGAGTGTGACGTTTTGACCAAAAGGACACAAGGGGTGATTCCTTTGGCCCCGGTTTCCAAGTCTCTGTGGACCTGTGCAGTGGAGTGTTCAATGGAATACTGCAGAATCCTCTATGATGTCTACCCATTGGATAAACTGGTAGGATTTTCTCTCAAAGTTTTTGTACTGTGCATCTTCGAATGAGATTGCATAAAATATATTTTCTTTCAGATTAACTATGTTGTGAGCGACTCAGAGTTTCACAGTCTTAATAGTTGGAGAAGGGAAGACCAGAACACACATGAGGTAAAACCAATCTAGATTTGGACTCTTAAACTAAATAAGCTATATTGAATGTACGACCACTTATTGTTTGTTTATTCACTGCTTTGGTTTTTGTCACATGTTTTATCTCTCTGTAGCTCATGTCTGCACTGGCAGCAGTGGGCCCTCCAAACCCACGTGAGGATCCAGAGTGCTGCAGCATCCTTCATGGACTAGTGGCTGCTGTTGAGTCCTTGTGCAAAATTACAGAGTTGCAACATGAAAAGCGAATTGACTTGATGGACACTGCTGAGAGAGTTGCCAATAGAGGACGCATTATCTGCCTCACTAATGCTAAAAGGTGCAATATCATTTCCTCAATAATACTTGTTAAAGGTTTATCTTTAAAGCTTAACTTATCAACTTCAATCACTTACTTACCTTTTTAGTGACACTCATGTACGCATGTTGGAAGATTGTATTCAAGAAACAATTGTGGAACAGAACAAGCTTGCAGCTGGCTCTGACAGGTCAGAAATGACTATATTTACAGTATAATCCACTATGCCATAGTCAGTCACATAAAGACTTTGACCCTATGTTTTAGGCTGATGGCCATTCAACAGTGTGAACTAGTTTTGGTTCACATTTTCCCGCAGGGGGAAGACACTTTGGTGTCTGACCGACCCAAGAAAGAGGTGTGTGACGCAGATAATTGGAATGTGTGTTGAATAAAGTACTTGGAACTAAATTATGATTTTCCTTGTTCCAGATTTCCTCTCTGCTCACCAGTGAAGTCCACAGTGTTCGTGCTGGACGGCACTTGGCAACAAAACTAAATATTCTTGTCCAGCAGCATTTTGACCTGGCTTCCACTACTATTACAAACATCCCCATGAAGGTAAGTCAACATGCCGAAAATAATACTTCACATCTCTTTTTTTGATTTCTCTTACAAATCAGTTGCTACCATTTTGATTTGCTCGTTTAATTTCTGTCTAGTTTGTTTGACACAATTTTTCATACACAACCCCTGTTTTTGTTTATCTTATCTGTGTGATGTTTTCAATGGCATCTGCTGCTGGTTTCATGCTGTATTTTCTGTTTTGCTAGCCCACATTAAATGTTTGTGAACAGGTTAGTATTTGGTACACACACATTAAAAGACAAGTGTTTTATGTCAATGATGGAGATGGCTCTGAGGCCACAAGTGCAGTAATTAATCGCCTTATGTGTGACTGCTGAATGGAACAGGCAACTCTGGTCTATTGTCAAAGCATTTAGAAACATAACTTTAATATTCCATTGCTTAATAAGTTTGACCAGGATTGCCTTCTAAAGTAGTTAAATATGTATCCTCACAGTTTGCTTCCTCATTGTCTGTCCTATTGTTTATCTCCTTGTTACACTTCTGTCTGTGTGTGGTCTGTTGTGCTTTCAACATGCAAATGGTTATAATGTCCCAATGCATTAGCTTCAGTAGAGAAATGTTCTCTTTACATTTAGAATAGATATTCCTGTTGGTTTTGTTCCTGTAGCTCAGCTGTGAGATCATTGTTTCCAGTTATAGTCAATTGTTTTTTTTATCCATTCATCACCCTCTTTTTGTGAAACCCAAGTCAACAATGTCGCGCTTTTCTTGCCCATATTTTCCACCAAATGTAATTTTTTAAACATCTTTTACCACTTTCACATTTTTTTGAAACATGAAATCAGCAGTGTTTTGTGTGTGTTGGAGTGAAGTTTACTTTGTCTCATGCATACTGATTTCACTGTGTGGCTTGACAGGAAGAGCAACATGCCAACACCTCGGCCAACTACGATGTTGAGCTCCTGCACCACAGAGATGCTCACCTGGAATTCTTTAAAAGCGGTGTGTGTCAGAATAATAATTTTTATTCTTTCTATTCTCCACTGAGATGCTGTCGTTTTGCCTGAAATATTTACTCTTAAATATAAGAACTAGAACTTGATATTGTGTTAATCCAACAAAAGTTAGTTCAGACACTTCAGATACTTGATCGAAAGAGCCCTGTGAGACTCTATGATGCTTTGAGACCTGATAGACTGAGTGAGGGTGGTGCTCTCTTTATCACTTTTCTGAAAAAATCTGATCCAAAAATGTGGGGTCAAAAATGCATCATGTGAAAACTAATGGTAGATAAAAAACTGTTTAGAGAGAGGGGATGAATGTTATTTTTTTTATTTTAGACCTGTTAGGCTTCTTTAAAACATGCACATAAACTTATAACTCATTCAAGGAATAATCCGAAAGCACAAAACACTTTACACCAGGTTTTATAAAATTGTTAATAAATCCAAGGTCTAGGTTAAACAGGTCATGCCTCTGTTGCTATGTAAAAATAATGCAGTTGTCTGCAATTTTAATTTAGATTCAGATTCAGATCAGATTCAAATTCAGATTCTGCCATTTTAATTTAATTTAATTTTTATTTTCAAATTAATTTGCGAGTCATTTGTTACGTTTATATCAACTTGTAGAATTGAGTCTGGCAGAACAACATTTTTGGCCCCATGAATATGCATTATTAACAACTTTAAATTGTATTTATAGGTGACCTACACATGGCTGGGACAAGTACAAGAGAGAATGGACTGAAAGAGACAATAACATTAAAATGGTGTACCCCTAGAACCAACAGTATAGGTAAGTTTGCAGAGCTACTAACAGCCTGGCTTCATCAGGTTTAACCTCATATTGGTTATTTCAGAACTCCATTATTGCACCGGGGCCTATCGCATCTCCCCCACAGACGTCAACAGTCGCCCGTCATCTTGTTTGACAAATTTTCTTCTAAATGGTATTCTTAACTTTCCTTTTTAAAGAAAGATAACTGGTCCAAACTATGAGGATGACCCTTTTATCTTCATCAGGTCGTTCCGTTCTCCTGGAGCAGCCGAGGAAGTCCGGCTCCAAAGTAATCAGCCACATGCTCAGCAGTCACGGAGGAGAGATTTTTCTCCACGTGTTGAACAGTAATCGTTCCACACTGGAAGACCCTCCCTCCATCAGTGAGGGCTGTGGGGGACGCGTGACTGACTACAGAATCACCGTAAGCCATGTTTACAGCAGACCCCTGGACACTGTCAATGTGTTTTTGTTTCTATCCTGGGTTTACCAAACACGACATCATAAGTAGACTTGATTTCTTTAGAGCAGATGTAATTGTGCATTTTTTTTGTTTTGTGTATATTGAAGATTTATTTAAAGCTGCACTAACTGACTTTATTTTTGTATTCATTATGAAAGTGCTATCCATGTCCATGTAGTGCATTGGGATATACGTCCTTTTGAAGAAAAAGTAGCGCAGATTTGTGCTGGCGTGACATTATATTTTAGATCGAGTTTTGATGAAACAAGGAAGAGAATGTGTTTCGGGTTGCAGATTGTGACCAATCACAGCGGACCACTGGCCCCCACTTTCTTGAGAAATCTACAGGTCCATTAGCATAGACATATCCATATCCATGTATTATCCATACTGAGACGCTAGCTTCGTCAACAACAGTGAGTGTGTGTGGGAGGCGATAGCTTCGTGGGTGCGGGGAAGGGAGCAGAAAGAGCGAGGCCAGCGAGTCCGCAGCTTCAAAATCCCAAAGTCAGTTAGTGCAGCTTTAAAGAAAACCACCAGTCCCATTATAAATGTGGATTTTTGAAATTCAAATATTCCACCTGAATATTTTTTTTTTTTTTTTATGTTTGTAGGCTTTATATTAATTAATGGCAACAAACAATATGACTCAATTATGTTGTGGTGTGTGCAGGATTTTGGGGAATTTATGAGAGAAAATCGCTTGACCCCAGTGTCGGAGTCTTCCCAAGATCCCTCCGGAAAGCTCCCTGTTGAAAGGGCAAGATCTCAGCTGGAGCGACACACGCGATACTGGCCAATGATAATCTCTCAGACCACCATCTTTAACATGCAAGCGGTAAGATAACATTTATTAATGATGAATAGAAAAATGAATATGTAGTTGAATCTGCTCACCTAACCTAAAGACAAGATTTTGACTACAACAGAGGATTAAAATGTGGTGTTTTCTGTAAAATTATAAATGGAATGATCCGATCCTTATACACAATGACATATTTCCTTGTCTAGGTTGTCCCTCTTGCGAACCTGATTGTGAAAGAGACACTTACAGAGGAGGATGTTTTGACGTGCCAGAAAACAGTATACAATCTGGTGGAGATGGAGAGAAAAAATGACCCTCTTCCAATTTCCACTGTGGGATCCAGAGGCAAAGGCCCCAAAAGGTACAGTTATCTTTTGAGATTTTTTTTCCTGGATTTCTCTTAGTGGGTTATGACCATTTTATTCTATTCCTGGTAGGGATGAACAATATCGTATAATGTGGAACGAGTTGGAGACTTTAGTAAAAACCCACGCAGGAGCCACAGACAGACACCAGCGGGTTTTGGACTGCATCATTGCCTGTCGCAGCAAACCTCCAGAAGAAGAAGAGAGGAAAAAGAGGGGGAGAAAGAGGGAGGACCGGGAGGACAGGACAGAGAAGAACGGCACTAAGGACACAGAAGAGAAGAGCTGGCAGGACTCTGAAAGGTACTGCTACTTATTAATACTGATCATGTTTTTTCGGCCTGGAAATCTGATTGTGTGAATGCAAAATGTCACTTTAAAGCTGCACTAACTGACTTTATTTTCGTATTCATTACGAAAATGCTATCCATGTCCATGCAGGGCATTGGGATATACGTCCTTTTGAAGAATAATTAGCGCAGATTTGTGCTGGCGTGACATTATATTTTAGATCGAGTTTTGATGAAACAAGGAAGAGAATTTGTTTCGGGTCGCAGATTATGACCAATCACAACGGACCACTGGCCCCCACTTTCGTGAGAAATCTACAGGTCCCTGTTAGCACAGACGGCTGAGTTAGCACAACAAGCGGCGGAGCTAACCTGAAACTTCGTGTCTTCATCACCGGTTACTGCTTACACAGCGAAACAGCCATCCAAAAGAAAGTCCCATTCCTCCGCGCTTCCCGGTTCTATCGTTCTATGGTCACGCCATCCACGTGCAAATCCATATTCATGTATTATCCATATTGGGAGACGCTAGCTCCGTCCCAACAGTGGGTGTGTGTGTGGGGGCGATAGCTTCGTGGGTGCGGGGAGGGGAGCAGAAAGAGAGAGGCCAGCGAGTCCACGGCTTCAAAATCCCAAAGTCAGTTAGTGCAGCTTTAAATTAGGTTTAAATTAGTGCACAGTTGGATTAATGCAGGCGCCCTACCTCTGGGTCTATGTGCATGTATTGCGTATCTTAAAAAAAAGTCTTTGGGATTGCGAGTTGTGCCCTCGTCCCACTGATGCTTCCGCTCGTGGAAACAATAATCTGGACTGGTGTTTTTCTGAATAAAGTGCCAATTAAAAATGTGTGATTTTTGTTTTTTTCAAGCTGAACACTTTTTAAAATGTAATTCAGTTGAAATTCTATTGAAGGTCAACATCAACAATGTATTGCACTATATTTTAATTAACACTGGGTAACAAAAAAATATTTTTTGAAAATAGTCCAGTGTTTTCCAGCTGAATTAGACAAGTTTTGATGCTCTGAGTCCGAAAATGACCTTGGTTTTGCTCAATCAGGTCAGGATTTTTTGCTACCAAATTTTTTTTTTTTTTTATCGATTTTGCGTAAAAAACAAATTTCTGCGGATCATCAGCTGAGAAACCCTTGACGTTTTTTCCGTTTTCCCCAAGAAATAAAAGTCAACGTATCCAAAGTCATTCAGTTTTTATTTACTCCATCAAATTTGATAAGCAGAATTCATAATAACCTAGACGTACGTAGTCCGTAACACTGTGGCTGTATCTCAAAAAGTTGACCTGATAGAGCAAAATGCATGTGATATTCGGACTCAGAACACCAACATTAGCTGAGAAACCCCTGACCATTTTTTGGCTGTCAACTTTTGTAATTAGTTTTTCTATTCCTGGACAAGTTGTATATTATCCTACTATTCCACTGTTTATTACTACTTTCTTCAGTACAGGTGGTAATGGTGTGAAAGTAGCATGGTCCCTAAAGTGAAAATAAGGCGCATTCCACTGATTCACAAGATTTATTTTCTGCATTTTGAAGGTTGAAGGGATTGTTGGATAAAGAAGATCAGGAATCAGAGGTGATCAAAGATTCTCCGGATTCTCCAGAACCACCCAACAAAAAACCACGTCTGTCCTCAGAAGATGCCCCGCCCACTTCCAAAGGTAAAATGCATGACAGATGATAAAGGATTGATTCATTTTTGAGGACCATTTTCTCCACTGAAAACGTATATTTAGTTTTGAATGGTGAGTTATTACGGAAACAACATGTATGACACTTGATTCTGATTTCTACTGTAGGTCCAGTGTCACTCCTCAGTATGTGGACCAATCGTATTACAACAGCCAATTCCAGGAAGCACCAGGAATTTTTTGGGAGGGCAGGTTCTGTTAACAAAAAGTTTGAACTTTACCAACATCTTAAAGATGAAAATGGGTATGTAAAATGTTATTAAGAAACTGTAATATCTGATATTTTGTTTATAGCATGTGTATTTTTGTTATTACAGCATGGACATTCACGAAAATGGCAAGGCCGCTAGATGATGGATTACCTGCTTAAATATTTTGAAAGACTTTATGGACCAGTATTTTTAAGGTTTTACTGTCACCAACACAAGGACACTGAATGTTCTCAAAACATAACAAGGAATTAGTCATTTTTAAATCGATATTTTGTAGATATAACGTTGACATACTGTGCAACAAAATAAACAACCCGAGTTGAGAAAATCCTTTCAGTTTTTGAAGAACTTGTATTTTGAGGGTAAATGTCGTTTGTCAATATCCGACTGTTGCTGCCAGTTTTGGTTCGCTTCATTCAGAGCGATCCAGAGACGCAGCGGCGGCGGAGGGATTTCAGGCTGCAGTAGCGGAGCCCGTCTCGGCCTCAGTGCCCTCAAATCCTTGCCCCACTCTGACAGTGTGTGGTTGGCAGGAAAAATGGCTACGACTCCAGTGGTTCTCTGACAGAAGTAGAGAATCGCTGCGACAAAGAGGACAATCAAGATAAGAGAGCAGATCACAAGAAGGGCGATAAACATGTCGGCCATGTGGGCCACCTGTTCAGAAACGACAGTGACAGCTGTAGAGATGGAGGAGTTTAAGGTTGTCTGTTGTTCCGAGGTCATTTTCAAAGTAGTTGTGGGAGTATCCGTGGAAGGAAAGCAATCCTTGGCATATACAACTGCTCCAACATCGCTTAACGGAAATTCAGGCAACATTGAGTCTCTAAATTTGGGATTTATGGTCTTATTTTCAAATCGCATCACCAACAACATTCTGTTTATCATCTCGTAGCTGCACCTTCCATTCTCACAGAGACTATAGTTGTACCAGGAAACAACAGTCGATCCAGGTGAGACTGACACTATTGCGAGGTGATGATGTCCAATGCTTTTGAAATAAGTTGAGATTTTAGTGATAAACAGCTCCATCTTGTGGCGGTGGAGGAGAATGGAGTGAAAACTTAGATATGCGGAAAGCGTGAAAACGTGACAGGGTTGAAAAGGGTTCCTCTGTAAATCTATTGTGAGTTTGGTTGAGATACTTAGGCCTCCTTTGTCCCGGGACAGTAGGGTGGCATGCTGAGGGGCAAAGGGAGTGTCGATTTCAAGCGGGATCCCGTGTAACTCAAGGCCATCTAAAAACAACCAGGAGCCAACGCTCGGAGGAGGCGGATCGATCAGCGTCATCTGTATAGACAAGGAATCAGCTGCTCCATCCTCTGGGTCCACAAACGTGTTTTCTGGGATCAAATAGGAGAAGGGAAAACCAACGGTGGCGGTCAGAGCGGGGATGGTCAGAAGCACTTCAGGAGGGTTATTGACTGAACCTGAAAAACAGGGTTGAAATAGGTGATTATGTCAAATGTATTTCATATGGACATAAGTAATTATTTTTATTTATAGCCCTAAATCACAACAGTAGTCGTCTCGAAGGACTTAAGTTTTAAATTCCTTAAAAGCCGATCAGAAAATCAAAAAGAAAATACATTGATAACAAGCACTGACGAGCCATTGGTCTATAGGGAGCAGGATGAACAAAGTACATGAATGTTATTAAAAGCCCCATTGGTCACGTTGGACAAACTCATGAATGTATTATATTATCAGACAACTACACTGCTTGAGAACACCTTTGGGGGAGATATTTTGAATAGATGTTTTTGTTGGAGGCGGTGTGTGTGTGGATAGGGCAGTCTGGGCGTCTGACTGCTGCCCCTGAGACCCAGCAACGGATAAAGCGGAAGGAAACGGATGGAAGTTTTGTTTTTGCTAACTTTGTATTATTGTTATATTTTGGGAACTACATACTATACTATCCACTCTCGGTGGATGTATCAATCCAACAAACACTTCATGATCGATACAGTATGAATAATTATGAAATGCACTTTTTAAATTGATATGTCCCATTAAAGCAGGCATGTTGTTTTTCCCAACAGAATGAGCCTTATGCAGTTTGTAACTACCTAACTTTAAAACCACAAATTAACTAGGTCATAAAATGTAGCTGTAACATTCCTGACTCAGTTTGGTCACTAGTTTTCTCACCATGTAATAGATACAATGCTTTCTAGGATAAAGAAAAAACTAGTACATAAGTTGGGACTAACAATATTTATGAAACAAGCTAAAAAAAAAAAGTCACTCCAGCTTTAAAGCCATATGAGATTGAATCATGTTATTTTGTTGCAAACCTAATTAGACTAGATGCATTTGAGTCTTTACTACTTACTTGTTGCAATGACAGAAGACGACGGTTTGATGATATTCAATGAGGATTTCACTACAGGCGGTAATGAAGAGGTAAAAATCACATTGTACGCACTGAAATATGTGCTTTGTTTAGTTGGACCATCAGTGGTTGGTATGGATGACTGGCAGTTCAACAAAGACCCTTTCTCTTTCTCGCAGTGGCCCTCAAGGGCAGATGAACCCTTTGGTAAAAAAGTCATGATGGAAAAACTGCTCATATATGAAGGACCCCAACTGTCTGCGGGCATTTGATAAGAAGCAGATGCAGAGATTTGCTGTAACTGCGCTGGGGTTGATGTCGAGAATATAAGGTCTATAGTTTCTGCCTTTCCCCACAAATCTGAAAAACTTTGCTCGCTCAGTTGAACTCCTGATGTCCAGTCGGCTGAATGTTTGAAATGACTTGTCCAATATGTATACTCGGGAAATATATTGCCAGCTGTTGAGGTGCACCTGCTCAAACCTCCACTGTTGCATAGTGGGAAAGAAGGCTCAAGACTCTCAAATAAATGAATTGTGCTTGATGTGTAGGATCCATGAACAGTAGAGGGTGCCATATCCTTAAAATGGGTTGCAGAAGGAATGCTTTCAGATGCTGAAAATTCAATTGAATGTATTACACTTGGTAAAGAAGCAGTGGGCTGTACATATGCTTTGGACGTCTCTCCATATTGTGATTCCATGCCACTAAGATGCATAGTAGGATTGTCTGATAAAGTGCTTGTGGAAAGCAGTTTTACAGAGTGTGTTTTCACTGTTGTATGTAGTGAATGCAGTCCTTCCAAAGCTGATTGCAAACTTGCTAGATAGGTGTATGATGAGTGAGCTGTAGATAAAACAGTAAAGCTGGATGATTGTCCGTAATGACCAGGGCATGTGTTGCGACTATCAACTGTTTCATATCCACTGTGAGGAGCAGTCCTGGTAAATTCTTCAAGCAGTGATGTGCCTTGTGTAGTTAGTGCTGGCTGTATATAATCAAAAGTAAAAGAGGGCCCAAAAGAGCTGTAATCACTTAGGAAAGGCAATGAATACATGGGTTCACTGGGTTGGGAGCTGTAGACATATAAAAACGAGGACTCCAGGTTATGTGTGTGGGGCAGATCTGTTTCAGTAGTTGGGAGTATGTTTTGAGTTGCAACCGATAGCTGACTTGACAATAACATACTTGGATACAAGGTTTCGTCAAGGTTTGTCCTCTCAGTTGAATTTGCAGTGCTTGGGGTGAAGAGGTTTTGCACAAGAGAAGAAGGCATTGTCTCAACATGGCTGCTTTTAGTTTCAGAAAGGCCACTGGGAGAAATGTGATCTGAATTTGCGCTTGGACTTACAGTGTCTGTGTTTAACTTTGCATGAAGTCTTGTACCGTGTGACGAAACAAAGGAAACCTGATTACTTAAGTGTTGGCTGAATGATGGTTTCTCGGTGAAGACTGACAAATCTGCTTGGAAATCTCTTGTAAAAACACCAGTTGTCGACTTATATGTATTTGAAAAGCTTGAACACTGTGTTTTCCCATTTTGATCAGTGCACACTCCACTACTGTACACAATCTCAGGTTGCATGTGTGACTTCAGCTGTGTATCTGTTTGGCCTTGAGAATGTGCAATCTCTTCTGCAGTGAAAGATAGACTGTGGGCATATGTACTGGGAAAAAGACCGGGTAGCTCAGGCGTGTTTGCAGTGGGTCCAGTTTTGAAGTCGTGCCTGGAAGACTCCGGCGTCTCCTGCGGTCTCCTACTCACCAATGTGGCCAGTGTAAAATCTGTAATTCTTGTATTTAGCGTAGATATTGCTTCCTGTTGTGCTTCAGACACATTTTGGAGTATTTTGGAGTTCATTTGCTCAGTGTTTGATGGCTGACTCAGAGGTGGGGTTGGTGAAAACATGTGTGTAAGTATTGCGTTTGATGACTGCAGTGACGGGTCAGTGGTAAGGGACAGAGAAACTGCAAAGGCTTCTGTTTGATGTACTTCAGCAGCAGATGGGCGGCTGGAATCCAGGCTGAAATTGGACTGATCTGCACAAACACAACAGGAAAAAAACGATCTTTACGACGGGGAAGTGGTTCAATAAGAGGATATGACTCACAGAAAGGTGTGCACCTAATATCACCAACTACACTTGACAAACAGTCTGTTTCTGGTGCATTGCTAGACAGTGGGACTACAGTGTACCTTGAATGATTGGTCTTTTTCTTTAGGTTATGTTTATGGAACAGGGCTAAGAACATATGAAACACATGTGCTGCAGTTGTTGGGCTCGCCGCTCGACAAACATGACTCATACTTGTCCTAGAGAAGGGACTTAATGTGCTTGTTTCCATGGAAATGGCAAGGCAAGGCAAGTTTATTTATATAGCACAATTCATACACAAGGCAATTCAAAGTGCTGAACAAAACAAGAAAGCATTAAAATCATAAATTATCACAGAACATTAAAAAGAAAGATAGAAATATAAAATCCCTCAGTTGTATGCACAGTTAAACAGAACTGTCTTTAACCTGGTTTTAAACATTGTCAGAGAGGAGGCCTGTCTCACATCTTCAGGAAGACTGTTCCAGATTTTAGCAGCATGAATCTGAAAAGCAGCCTCCCCATGTTTAGTTCTGACTCTGGGCACTAACAGGAGTCCAGTCCCTGTGCTCCTCAGAGTCCGGGCTGGTTCATATGGGACTAACATGTCACTAATATATTTTGGTGCGAGGCTATGGAGAGACTTGTACACAAGCAGAGCTGTTTTAAAGTCTATTCTCTGAGCCACAGGAAGCCAGTGCAGAGACCTGAGAACTGGACTAATGTGGTCGTACTTCCTGGTTCTAGTCAGGACTCGAGCTGCTGCATTTTGAATGTACTGCAGCTGTTTTACAGCCTGTTTGGACAGACCTGTGAGCAGGCCATTGCAGTAGTCTAACCTACTGGAGACAAATGCATGGATAAGAATCTCCAGGTCTGCTTTAGACACTATGTTTTTGATCCTGGCAATGTTTTTTAGATGGTAAAAAGCTGCTGATGTTACTGATTTGATGTGGCTATTAAAATTTAAGTCTGAGTCCAGTATTACCCCTAGATTTCTGACCTTGTTTGAAGGTTTTAGGGAGAGAGACTGTAGGTGACAGATGACGCTCTCTCTTTGTTTCTGGGGACCAAAGACAATAATTTCAGTTTTGTCTGCGTTTAGCTGAAGGAAGTTGTTTTGCATCCACTCACTGATCTGTTGGATACAGTGAAGGAGTGAGTCCACTGGTCCATGTTCTCCTGCAGTCAGTGAGACATAAATCTGAGTGTCGTCTGCATAGTTGTGATAGGACACTTTGTTTCTGCGTATTAACTGACCTAACGGCAGCATGTAGAGATTGAACAGAAGAGGTCCCAGGATCGATCCCTGTGGGACTCCACAGGTCAGGGCCATATGATCTGAGACACAGTTTCCAATCTCCACAAAGTACTTCCTGTCTTCAAGGTAAGACCTAAACCAACTTAGGGCGGTGCCAGTGACGCCAGCCCAGTCCTCTAGTCTCTGTAAGAGGATCTCATGGTCGACGGTGTCAAAGGCAGTACTTAGATCTAACAAGATTAAGATTGAGACTTTGCCTGCGTCAGTGTTCAGCCGGATATCGTTTGTAACCTTAACGAGAGCAGTCTCAGTGCTGTGGTGGGGTCTAAAGCCGGACTGAAACATATCAAATGAGTTGTTGATTATAAGAAATCTAGTAAGCTGTAGGTAGACAACTTTCTCAAGGACTTTCCCCATAAATGGCAGATTTGAGATGGGACGATAGTTGTTAAGTACCGTAGCATCGAGACTGCTCTTTTTTAGCAGGGGCCTGATGACTGCAGTTTTCAGGGCCTTTGGGAATATTCCAGAATGAAGGGACATGTTTACTATCTGTGTGAGTGAATGTAACAGACTGCTCAGAACAGACTTTAGAAATCTAGTGGGTAGTACATCCAAGCTGCATGTGGAGGAGCTCAAACTGGAGATTATCTCTTGGACAGTTTTATCATTTACAGGTGCAAAGTGAGTTAGCTCAGAGAGCCTTTCTGGCTGTTGGATGGTTATCTGTGGATTGGAGACAATGGCGTTTTTGATGCCTTGAACCTTGTCATTGAAAAAATGAGCAAACTCATTGCATTTACGTTTGGAAGTAAGCTCTAATGGCATTTGAACAGGGGGGTTTGTTAATCTATTAACTGTTGAGAACAGAACACGCAGATTGTTGCTGCAGCCTTCAATCATTTCAGAAAAATACCTTTCTCTCGTACTACGTAGCACCCGGTTAAACTCGCACAACTTATCTTTGAAGATCTCGTAATCAACCTGGAGGTTGGACTTGCGCCACTTCCGCTCGGCCCTCCGGCACTTTCTCTTTTGTGCCCTGACCGAGTCTGCTTTAGCCCACGGCGCCTTCTGCTTATTTTTCACTATTTTAACCTTCACAGGGGCAACGGTATCCAGAACATTCAAAACACTAGAGGTGACAGAGTTAAACAGTTCATCTACAGTAGAATACGATGCATTCTCAAAGTTTATCATTCATTTATGCGCCTTCTTCGAACAGTTGCAGAGTCCACTGATGGTTTGTTAGTGAAACACATGTCAAAAAAAACACAGAAATGATCCGAAAGAGCAACATCGACCACGTTTACATTTGAAATATTCACCCCCTTTGTAACTAACAGATCTAGAGTGTGCCCTTTGCTGTGGGTGGGGCCACTTACGTGCTGAGTGAGATCAAAGGATTCAAGTACAGAACTCAGCTCTTTTGCATTTCTGTCATCAACATTATCCACATGAATATTAAAATCACCTGTAATAACCAAACTATCAAAATCTGTGCATACAACTGAAAGCAACTCGGTAAAATTATCAATAAAATTGTGACATGACTGCGGTGGCTTGTATAGGACAATGAAGAGTATTGGAGGAGATTGTTTTTGTTGTATTTTAAAAGACACATATTCAAATGACGAAAACTTCCCAAGAGACATTCTATGGGAGACAAAGTGGTCTCTAAAAAAGGCAGCTAAGCCTCCTCCTTTTTTGTTTTCCCGTATTTCAGATTCAAACTTGAAATTTGGTGGTGATGCTTCTATTAAAACTGCATTTTCTGAATTTTGGTCAAGCCAAGTTTCAGCCATGAACATAAGATCAAGATTATGAGAACAAATAAAATTATTGATTAAAAAAGACTTGTTACAAAGAGATCTGACATTAAGCGTAGCAAGTTTCAAAGTTTCAGTATCAGCGGTTGCGGTCGGCTGATTCTTACACGGAACAAGAATTAGATTTTCCAGATTAGACTGATTAACTCCAGATGTTTTTCTGTAATGTATTCTTTGTGTTATCACTAAGGGAATGGCACAGGTGGCTTCATGACAGGGCCCCAGCCGGGTCTCTCCTCTAACTAGACTGCCAGTGGCTGCGAAGCAGAGACCCTGTGCATCCTAGTGTTTAGAGAAAAGAGGGGAAGGGGAAGGCAGGGGAGGAGGATGGAGAGGTGGGTGGCTTTTGGGTGTTGAACGAGGGGGCAGGGAGGTGGAGGGGTTTTAGGTGATGGGTTAGGGCCGGGGTGGGCTGAGGCAGAGGTTTTGGATGTTGAACGAGGGGGAAGTGGGGGTGGAATGGTCATGAGGTTAGGGGAGGGACTGGCTGAGGTGGTTTTTGTAGGTGAATTGGAAACCCTAGGTGGTTTTGGAGGTACATATGGGGAGTGGTTTAGCATGTTGGACAGGACTCTAGATCGAGCTAATATGGGTGTGAGAGGAATAGTCTTCATGGCCGATTTTATTAGCCCTGCAGAGTGTTCAGGTAGGTCTAACAGTGAAGGCGGGGATGAAAAACAAAGGGAGGTGTCCCCATTCTCTCTTGATGGAGTGGACGTGGCAGGGGGGACCCAAGACAGGTCCATGGGAGGTGGCGAGGGAGTCTTTGATGGAGGGGCAGGTGGTTGAGGAAACCCCAGCACAGGCCTGTCTGCTGTAGGCTGGGGTGAGGATTGGGGCTTCAGAGGCGCTGTAGATGAAGAAGGCGTGGCTGCTTTGGAGCAGGCTGGGGATGAGGATGGTGGTGGTGGTCGTGCTGCTGGTGCTGCTACTGGTGATGATGCAGCTGCTGCTGGTGATGATGCAGCTGCTTCTGATGAAATGTTGATGCTTGAAGATGAATGTGCCAATGCTTTTCAGATGAATTATGGATTCAAGGATCATCTGAAAAGCATTGGCACATTGCTTTTCTAGAAATCTGAATAGTTTTTATCAGAGCTGTAGCCATTGATTATTTAAGTAATTTTAGGGTTATGGTGATCTATTTGCTCTTTTTACATGGTTTAATGCTTATCTAAATAATATTTTAGGAAAGTTATAATTCATATTTACAATAATATAATTTTACATAAACTTTGTATAATGAATCAAACCGTCGCCTTCAGAGCAGTGTTAAACGGGTGCAGATATGAGTTCTGTGGCAACCTGCGCCACGGAGCTAATTATAACCAAGGCTGTTTTGTAATTGATTAATTTGAAAAACTCAGTCCTCCCTTTCAGCCTACTACATATGTATAAATACTACATTTATTTATAGATATATAATATTTGACTCAATTTCAGGCTTTTAAGTTTAGCCAAGTTTCTAAAGTCTCTGATGGGAGATATGGAGAAGTAGTTACCACAGCAACCACAAAGTAAATAAGGGCCAAAGCTCGTCTCATTTACACAATACTATGTAAATGAGACGAGCTTTAAGTAAGTACCGCAAGTAAGACATCTTTATTAATGTGGCATATTTGAGGGACCTTGGTAACACAAATCATGTAAAAATACACTTTTATCTTGTTGAAAGAATACAGGGTTTTATTATTACTGTAATTATTTTTAAACAGACTTGACTGATGTGAAACTGTGTTAATGTAATGAATGCTAACACATTTTTAGCCTATCACTTGTGTAAATGTGTATTCTGACTATTATCAATGTCAACATTTGGTGAAGGTGACGACCTGCAAGTTAAGTGATAGAGGACCAATAGAATTAATGGCATAAGTACTGTATATGATAAAAATGTGAGAAACGGGCTAACCTAGGTATTTCTAGATTATTATAAGACATGATATAAACAAAATGTCTTAATATTATGAAATATGACGATAGGGTATCAAACAATAAGAAGCAGTCGATGTTACATTGTCAGCCATTCTGTCATAAAGGCTGCTTGTGTGATTTCCTTTCCCCAAAGCTTATTCTCTAGTGGGCCTCTATGGGTCGCACTCTGTACTTGAGCACAATGAGCAGAGTAACAGCAAGGTCAGGAGCAGCAGACTCACCCAGGGACTTCTGAGGTGCTGGACGGGCTGATTCAGCGTGACTGTATCCATACATGTCGCCCCAGATGTGACTCCCAGCCTGGTCCCATCCTGGGGTCAGGCTTGTGGGCAGCCCTTGAGACTCTATGGTCACATGCATCAGAGTGGGGATTGGGGGGGCTTTATGGTCAGACAAAGCTCCCATGGCTGTTTCGGTGTGGTAGGATGACAAAGTGTTTCTTGATTGTATAAAATGACTTAATATTATGTCACTTGTTTGTGCAAATGTCTGGCTTTCGCTCGCTGTAAATGCTGCTTCATTCATACTAGCAAGCTGTGAAAGAAAATTTGATGTGTCTAACTTTAAATCTCTCTTCACCCTGTGAGCGACTTCAACTGCACAAAGCAATTTCCAGGAAAGCAATGGTACACCGAGTTTATTTGTGAAACTTCTCGTCTCAAAATTGTTGTTAAATTCATCCTGAAGGAACAGTAGTTGCTCTTGTGATTTGCAGCCAAAGTGTAATACAATTTGAGTGCGATTCCCCATGTGACCATCCAGCTCAATATCCTTTTCTTGGTGACTTGGGCTGCAGATTCTGACCAGCTTTAGAAAAGATGTATTGCTTGTAAAAAGATGAATAGCGTTCAGTTGGAGGTGTAGGTTCTCTGCTATTGTCTTGACCAAATGGATGCGGCGACTGGCATTTAAACAAGCAGGATTCATTTGAAGGAGGAGGTTTCCCCAGACATCTGTGTCTCTGTCAGGACATGGTCCACTGGCCCTGTGGACATAAATAAACACTGTTAATATGACTTTCCTTGAGTGCACTGTAGGGTTGTTTTCAAATTGTTCACCCACGAATCAAGTTGCACTTCCTGAGAATACAGAGATAAGATATTACAACACAGATGATTTCAAAATCACATATACATTTATATTGTGGAACTGATGACCACAGTTACATTCAGGTACATTTCTAATAAAAGGACTTACTCATAAGCTTTCCAGAATTAGTTATTGATTTTGACATGCCATTAATCATAAGGGTACAGCATATGCCCAGAGTGCACAGCGAGTTTATTGAGTATGAGGATTTGTGTCTGGGTGTGGAAGGCTTTTATATGTTTCCTTTGATATGTTATTCGAGTGTCAATGTGTGAAACCAATCCTGGTTTTGTTCACACTATTTAGCCAGAGGGGGCCTACAGGATTTCATTTCTGCTGTTGGTAGCTGATGCCTAAGGCCATGTTGGGTAGAATACTTTCAAAATGTATCCAATTCAGAATACGGAATACATTACCTAAAATGCATTTTGTACAGTATTCTGTTACTTTGGACCTGTATTCTGTATACCAAAAATAATGATTTTATATTTGAACATATTTAAAACTACAAACTCAGTAAATTTTTAAGTAAATAAAACCTGTTCTGTAGTTATTTGATAATTTGTTGTTTAAATCAAAGTGCTGCTATTTAACTACCAGAGAAAATAGAATCTTCACGTTAATGTTCAATGTTCAATGCTCAATGTTTTCATTTCTTTTTTAAACATCTTAAAACGTAAAGCATGTATTCTGAATGCATAATGGGATTACATATAATCCGTTACTCCCCAACACTGGTCCCAGTATATGTTGGAGGTGCTGGCTCAGTGAGTGTGAAGTGGCAAGAATGAAGATCTGCTCCTCCAAATCCAAGGTCCACATGGAGAGACAGGTGCCCTGCAGGAAGACTGGAGTATGGGTTGGGTGTAGCGTGTGCAGTGATGCGGTCTCTGTATCTGACTGATGTGATGAAGAGGAAGCTGAGTCAAAGCAAATCTCTCAAGTTACCACTCAGTCTGTCTTCCCACAAGACCATGGATACAAGTGATTGAAATGAGTGGCTGGTGCTCCCTCAGAGATGGAGAGAGTAGCTCAGAGTGGAGCTGCTCACATGCCTTCCTGCAGGTTGTCCTGCCGTGACACCCTGGGAAAGCAGAGAATATGCAGGAGCAGTGCAGGCAGGGGGCCATGTTCAGCCTGAGTCACGTTTCAATTCGGCCCCAGGACCCATCCCAGTGATGATACTCAGGCTTCTTAACCTTTAGACCAGTTTTGGTTCAATCCAAGCAAACTCATTATCAATGTAAAGCACAGATGCTAAAAACGAGCTAAAAATAAACTTTACACAGAGAAATCACAGGATTTTTCCATTCCATTTTTTCATCTCATGCTCTTTTTTTTAAATAGTTCTCTTTATCAATTACGATAAATCCTTTTATGAATTATGTAGCTTTCACAGAAAATACCAAATATGATTGGCCAAAGTTAATGAAATGGTACCAGATTGAAACAGTACAAGACAATATCTCTACGTGTCCTACGGAGCTGGCTGGAGGGACGAGCCAGAGGATGTTTGCGTGGACAGAGAAGTCTGAGAGTCTTGCCTCTATGACCCAGCAACTGATGTAATTGTAAAACCTATGATAATATAAAATTATAACATGCTTTTTGTTGTTGACACTTTTGACGCAATTCTGGAAACATAAATCTGGACTAATAGATCCGACCCAAGTCCCAGAGACTTCATTTAGGATTATGAGGATTAGATATATGGCCTGCGCAGGTGGACAAACGAAAGACTCTACAAGGACTCTGATTGTGTATCCATGTTATGACTATAATATGCTCTGAGTGTCTCTGACTTTCAATGTGTGATGTAACAAGGACTATAAAAAACTATGTCCTGGCTTTGTTCTGTCTGAGAAACTGAAACAACTAAAACAACTGGAACCTGAGAGAAACCTAAATAAACTTCCAGAGCTCTGCTGCGCCATGATCCGTCTCTGTGTGATAAATGTCCCACAGGATAACAGTCAAAAATTTGATTGAGGCTTTGTCACCTTATAGAACTGCTGGGCATGGTTGCATTCTGAACATGCACAAAGAAGTCTGCTGTACATTTATGAGTTGTAACGTGGAGTCGTAGATGGTGTGTCCCAAAATCCTCAGGGAGAGCCAGTCCCACTAAATGTCCACTGAGATGTCTGTACTCCAACCAGGCAGGCAGGTCCTTCCCGTTGGCCAAAGATATCTGAGAGAAAAAACATTGAATTAATCTGGTAGCAATAGACATTTATTTGATTTCACATTGTCCAGGTCTGCATATGAAAGTAAACAGGTGAAACTCAGAAAAAATAGAATATTGTTCAGTAGTCCATATGTATATGACAGACCCATTGCACACAAAGTGATTATTTATCAGGCCTTTGTTTATTATAATTTTGATAATTTTCTCAGAGCTTGAAAAAACTCAAACTAAAGCTTCTGAGATCAGTAGAATATACTTTGTATATATACTGAATAAATATATATATATATATACATATATATATATATATACATATATATTTGTATATGTTCTATATTGGTTTCAAATTTAAGTACATAAATAAATTAACTTTTGATTGATATTCTATGAGTTCTATGAGATTTGTATTAGAGATGAACCTATAGACATGTGCTCTCACCTTCGATTGCCACATATGCTTTGGTGTTGGATTGAAAAGGATGCTGAAATAAAAAGGAGAGCCAGCCTCTGCAGTGAAGTTTGGCAAAACGTGTTGTAGCACACAACGTTGCATCACATCACTTTGATTGCAGACCAGTTTTCCCAGCAGCATCACTAGTTGAAGACAGAACTTCAAATGTTCCACCATGTTTTTTCCAGAGAGGCCATTGGCTCAAGATATGATCCACATGCTCTTAGATGCCAATTCCATACGCCAACATTTAAATGTGCTGCTTGCTTTTGTCATCATAAATTTGATAATCCTCACTTTGAAAAAAAAAAAAAAAACATGCATAGGCCTACAATAGTCTAGTCTAAAGAGTAACACATGAATGAATGAATAAAGAGAGTGATTTGCTGAGGTCCTTCCTAAAGTCCAGTTGTGGAGTGTTAGTCTCTCTTTGTGAACGTGATACTGAAGCTTTAGCTCTTCTCTTGTTACAAACAGGGGTGGAAAAAAGTGTTATAGGAAACCTCAGGTATTACCGCTGAGAAGTTGGAAGATTTTGCCCCTCTTTTTTCTGCATGAAAAGTCTTAACCAATAGAAAACATAGAAGTTTTTCATTTCAAACTTAACTCTAGATGCATGGGCTTTTTGCATTATTACTTTTTTTTGGCCAAAAAAAACTGCATGGATCTATTATATTATGCTTGTGATTGAAACAGCTGGTCTTTAGGACCCACACCATGCAGTGCGTGACATTTATCACAATCCACGATTCAGACAGAAATGTTAGACATTGGAGGAATGCAGTGGCCGTAACGCACTGACCAACGAAGCACCCCTGACCACTATCACTCATGTGTTTGACCAACGTTGAATGTAGCAGAATATGATGTGCAATTCATTACTAGGCAGCTCACTTTCACTTTAAATTTACTGTTTTAAACTTGTTATAATTTGACGCTGTTGGTAAATTGGCTCATCAGAATAATTAAAATATATTTGATTGGACTAAATGGATAATCAACTACATGTACAAATACACAGTCTATGGCACAACTAGATAAGATGGGCAACATCAGTATTTATCTCCCATCTTTAGTCAGATTGTGGCTTGAAGGTAACACACCTCAGCTCTGAGTTTGTTTATGTCATGGTGGGCCTATGTGGGTTGGCCCTTGACCTGTGGGGGCTCTGAATGGTCAAGGTCTGGGTCAACTTTATGTATATTGTGCATATACAAACAGGTTTATGGTTCCCAAAGTGCTTCCCCCAAGATCCAAACAAAAGCATACATTCCCACAAAAAAGTAATTACAGAAATATTATTACATTGCTATAATGAAGACATTAAAAAGTGCAAAAAGTCTAGTCTTTAAAAGAGAAGTTGCAGTTTTATGGAAAGGTAAAGAGTTCCACATTTTTTAAGCAGACTGTGTCCCCTCTAGTCCCAGGTCCCAGGTCCTGGGCTGGACCTGGGCTGGACCTGGGCTGGACCTGGGCTGGACCTGGGGCAGTCCAGGAGCAGCTGGTCGGCTGACCTGCCTTTATTAAAGATTTGGTCGTTTAATACTACATAGACAGGACAGATGGGTTCTTCAACACAAACTGGACTATGGAATATGTAACCCACCTGATTAAAACTGGTGGGCACATATTTGTTAAACAACAATAGCATGGGATCCAATAGATCTAAAAGCTTTG